TTTGCGGCTGCGTTCTTGGCGCACGCGCTCTCTTTTTGCCACCACCATGGCCGGAAAAGAGCGGACGAGCGGGTCAGTGGGTTGCTCTCGCCCTCTCTCTGGCAACCCTGGTGGACAACAGCGGGTTGTTGGTAGAGCGAGGGACGGAGAAAGGGAGCGAGAGAGAGAGAGAGAGACGGAGTGCTAAGGGTTGTTTGTTGCGAGTGCAAGGTTGCATGCAATGCAGCTGTCGATTGCCGCGAGTGGGTGGCCCAAGTGGTTAAAGTTGCCGACAGGGTTGCCAACTTCATTTAGGAAGCTGGATATGCTGTGTTCGAACTTTCTACTATAGTCTATGAGTTAAAATATACTCAATAAATTATTTAATCCGAAAACAGGTTTTTAGCTCCATGTAGGAAGCAGGATGTTCTAAGCCGAAATTTCTGAGACATGCCTATAAAATAAACTTAATAAAAAAGAGACTATATCTATTTGAGTAGCTTAAAAAGTTTGCCAGCGTACGCATTGCTTAACATTTCGTAGTCCCAAGAGTATTACAATACTTTTTAAAAACTGTAAAGATGACTCTAATTCAACAACTAAAACAAATACTTTTGAATACTACATAACTTGCCAACAGGCTTGTCTGCATCATCAAAAAACGCCTAAATTATGCTAAAAGTAGTCATCGTAGATTAAACAAAACACATCACTTAATATGGAGAGTCACTTTAAATGACTAAAAAACCACATTCAAAAGTGACCTATGATTTGATGACTGTTCTTTTGCAATTCGAGGCATTTCCCGGCCAACAAGAAGGAAATGGATACCATTTAATCAACCAAAAGTACTAATTGCTTAGATAAGATTATTTTTTTGTTCTAAACACAATCTTAAGGTTATTTTTATAGGCTCTCAATTTGGTAGTTTCTTTCATAAACAATTCCAAAAAATTTGGTTTAAGACACAATGTGTTTTGTTTTTATTCGAAAAGATTTTGTCATTTCTAAATTATCAAAGTCAAAGGTCTCCCATAAAACTGTTTACTACAGTTTTTAAAAATACATGAAAAACACGCCACTATTCGTTGAGTCAGTCATTAAAACGGAATTTTGTACGGGGAATTTTCAGACTATCAATATTTGGCGAACTTTTTTGTGCTTTGGGTTTTCCGGAACCACTCTTGTAACCCGGAAGCGAAGTAGTCCACGTTCCGAGGGCGTACAATTCTCTAGTTTCTGGTGAATAAATTTGCATTTAGAGACTCTGGTCTAGTCTAAACATCTGCGTCAGTGTAGAACTGCTGCGGCAACAAAAAGCACGTTGTAAAAATAACACAAAACAGAAGCGGCGGCGGCCAACGTATCGACAACAATAACAAAAGCGTTAACATATAGACAGCGTCATCAGGTATTAATCGTGTATTTAAGCCAACTGAGCCAATGAATGAACTGCGCGCCGCTTTTCCGAACGATCTATAAATACGATCAAATTATCCCGCCGTCAATCACTGTTTGATCAAGTGTTTGTGGGCCAAGTGCAGCAGCCAAAAACCAAAAAAATAAAATAGGAAAACAGAAAACTACTTTCACACGCGTTCATCGGAAATGGGAAATGGCTTTTCCATATGGACGCACATTTTTACCGCTCTTTCGCGTTCGGATTTCTTTGGGAGGGGGCTTCTCAGTTACAATCTACAACGTTCGACTAGAACACGTCAACTGAATTAGTTAATCAAGCAAAGGCGTAAGATAGCCACAAGCGACATAGCGCAAGAGAGCGCGTCTCGAAGCTTTGCTCTCTCCCCGCGCTCTGCCTCTCATTAACCATGTTTATGCTATGAATTTCACGAATTTCAAATATGTGAAATAAAAATTGGACTTCCATAACACAAACTTACCTAAGGTCTCTAAAAATTACATTTTTGTTAGTGGCAGATAATAGTTTTTAAATATTTTATTGAAAAGTTTAAAATCATCATTTTGACAGTTCTTACATTTCAACTCTAAATGCTGTTAGTATCTAGTCTCAATTTATGAGTAATTTCATAAAATTGTTTACGTATAAACATAGTCTGTCTTTCCCTCTCCCCCATTCGCCGCGTAAAAGTGAGAGTGAAAAAGCGTAGGCACATTCCACGGTCTACGTTTGTGTGTGTGTGCGCGTTACGATCTCTTTTGTCTTCACATTGCGACAACACTGCGTATGCGTGATGTACCCGATATATTGCGCATACGCGGCTTGGTACAAGCAAGAGTTGCCGACTTTTTCCTCGTTTCTTTGGGACTCCATGACGTCACGGACGTCAGGTTTACCACCAACGCAGCTTATCTTTAGTCCGCTCTCTCTTATTCCATAAAAAAACAGAGACACGCGCCAAAGAGAACGCTTAGTGGACAGTCTCTCATTCTCCCGCACTTCCTCTTCCTCTCCACGCCTCTATCCATCTCCCTTTGGCCACTTGGCGTTCCGTTTGCGAGGGAAGAGCGCGCCCACGCCGAATCGTTTTCATTGTTAACTTTATTTTGTGCGTTTTGATTTTCGTAGCAGAATTGAATAATTATATATGGATGGATATGTATTCAAACAATAATGCTCAGAAAAATATATTTACATATTGAGTTTTATGTTTGTTTAAAAAGTTTAAAACAAGTTAATTTGTATAAATCTATATCTTAACACAGCCTTAACGCTTTATTGTAGGTCTCCTTTTCGACATAAAAAATCATAAATGCAATTAATAAATTTTTTTTCGAAAAATTAAAAAAAATTTTGATGTTAAGAATATTGATAAGAATTGACCCAAAAAATATGGAGTATTATCTAGGTTAAATTAATTGTGTGTTATACGGCAAAATGAGCAGAAATTAATTAATTTCTAATATAAATAGTATTATATAATCGTTGATGATAATAATAATAATAAACATTTATATAACCGCGTCTGTACATTTGAGTGGGCAGATTATGTATACAAATATAGGTGGGTAGATAAATACCATTTATATGTTTATTCATATGTATGTACCTGAAGACGCTTTTTCGCAAATTGAGCGAAATATGTCGAGAGACTCCAGTGTTCGCGGACTTTCAATGCCGGCCGGCGATTTCTCTGGGCCCCAAAAGCTCTCCATAATTCTTTTATATATATTTTCGTTCTAGGTACGATCTCTGGTAACTGTACATTGCCGGTAGGACGACAAGTAGAACGCAATTCCAAGACAAAAAAACAAACAGCGAAGAGCACAAAAATGTGGAACTCGAGCAAATGAAACGCAAATGAAATGGAAAACAAGGCAACAACAAACTGGGATGATAATAGCTACCTGTTGTTGTTTTTGCTGTTTTTTTTATGCAAATAGGGCGCAGAAAGAGGGATGTTGACAGTGGGTTGTCCCCAATAAAAATTACGTCTTACTCTGTGTGACTAAGGGAGTGAGTAGTGCGTGCGCTTTGTTTTCATCTTTCGCGTGGGCAGACGAAAACCGCCGCCCACGCACCGCATGCTGCGACTGCCACGCCCTCCCACAACCCACAGCCCACCGACCATCCAACGCCCCAAACCCTTGTGCGTTGGTCTGTGTGTGTACTTATAGGTGGTTTCCATTTTTTTTGTTCAGGCGCTGATTGTGTGCACTCAACTACTTCCTCCAAGGATTTCCGAGTCAGGTACGACAGTAATGTTTTATGGGAGTTCATGTAAAAACAAAGCGAATAACTAACTTTTATGGGCGGAGCAGCAGAATAATAGAGAAAGCCACAACAGTACTTAAAGGGCCCACAAACCACACTTTTCAAACCTAGTTAAAAACTGAACAAACAATCGAAACATTTTTAAGTTAATAAAATTCATTATTGCAGTTAATTTTGTTCATACCTTTTGTTTTTACTTCTATATTTTCACTGTATTGTTTTAAAAAACCTACATCAGAGTTAGTAAATATATTTTCAAAAGTATTTTATTTAAGTTGTAAATGATACTACATAATAGTTATTTAGCACGATTAGCAATAAGAAATAAGGAATCTAAAAATAAATACCATCTGCTTTTTGTAACAATACAATCGCCATTTAATAACGTATTGCAACCAAAAAAGGCCATATAAATCAAAAACTTGCCCGATACCAAGCTTACAGATCCCTCCCACTTCCTTTCAATCAACAAGAACCACAAAGTAAATATAAAAAATTTGACGCATGACATGAAAAGCTAACGAAACGAGACAGAAATTTTCAGCTTGAAGACATTTTCCGCCATTCCACTCCGTTGATAGAGAATCCACAGGCCACTTGGCACAGAAACTCGGATAGTTGGATGCGCGGATACTGATTCACAGATACGAAAAAAACTGCGCATATATGGGCAAATGAAAAAAACGCACACACCGAAATGAGAAATATCTTTTGTATTAATGGAGGCATGTTTAATATTTTAATTTCAGGGGCCGTGCCACGCTTCGTGCCTTTGTGGGGCAAGCTGGGATTGGGTTGCGTTGACTTTTGACTTGCCAAGAGCCGGAAGTGTGACAATGGGGCAAACTGCAGGGGCAGACACCACCTGGTTTTATGTCGGATTTTGCTTCAAGTTCTGGCAAAACTTTGCAAATAACTATATATTCATTCAAAGTTTTTTTTCACTGAATAATAAACACTGTGGCGAATATGCAAGTTAAACTATCAAAAATATACTGAAGTACCAAAAATAATTATTATAAATCTTTACCTCCCCTTATTGTCTCGTCTGATATATCTAATTATGAATCTGATATATCTAATTTTGAATTTCTTATAGTTAGTTAATATTAAACTGAAATCATAAGTAACTTCAGTTATCTAAAAACTCCTTCTCCTGCTTTAAGACAATAAAATGTTCCAATAAGTTAGAATCCTTAACAATCGTCCTTTAGGCTTTGAGTATCCATAACGCTCAACCGGTTTTACTTCCTTAACAGCTTGATCCCTTAAGCGATTTCCCCAAGGCTGCCCAAAAGTATGCCACAACGAACGATCGAAAACTCACCTTAAGTAGCGTGAGAATCTTCTGGGATAGGTCATAGTCAAAGTTGGAATACTTCGAGCCGCTCATGTCGTAGATAAAGACGAGACCGGCGCGCTGCGTCTCCGAGTCCTGAAGCGCACTGTCCAGCTGGTAGACGATGCCCTGCAGCGTAGTCGTGTGCGAAGCGCTTAGCGGACTATGTCGGTTGGCGGTGAAGAGGGCGATGGCGGCTCCACTTGAGGTGCGTGCGGGCTGAAATTGGAAACGAAATGATTATTAAGGTGTTTGTGAAGAGGATGGGGGCACACACTCACCAGGATTGTGAACTTGCCGGTCTGCAGCTCGGAGCGCAGGGGCTCCACATCCGGATCGATGTTATAGAGATACTCCTTTTGGCGGATCTGCTCATGTTGCTCGTACAGGGAGACTGCTCGCGGTATGTCGAACTTACGGGCGTACAGAAACTTGACTGCTGTCGTATGTGAGATGTGGCGCCTCACAGGCGCCGCTCCCCCACCTCCTCCACTTTCTCCTCCTCCTGGCGCTGCTAATTGCACCTGGAACTGCGACTGTGGCGGCACAGCTGCTATTAAGTTCTGCGTGCTGCTGGCTGAGGAGGTGGAAGCTGACGGGGATGTGGCTGTCGTCGTGGTGCAGTTAACACCCAGGCTGTTGCAGAGATCAATGAATTGTTTCACAGCCTGAAAAATAAATAAAGGAAAAGAAGAGTATGAGATACTGGTATATTATATTGATAAGATTAATTCTTTAAATTATATTTTCCAGTTGTTGCAAAAAAAAGTGAAGCAATCGGATAACAAGGCGACCGGGAATGTCCCACACCAAGGTAACAAGAATAATGATAACGTCACAAAATAATATCAGTGCAGAAGAAAACAAAATTCCATATTTCCATTTGTTGATAGTTTTATAAAAAAAAGATTTATTGAATCATTATGGAATAAGGGATTTCCCACAGAACACTTCACATGTTTACATTGATATTTTTGAGTATTATGGCCATGGCAGATATTTTAATATATAACAGCATGTTTATCCACAATAAGATTGTAGATTGGCTTAAATAAATCATGTTTTTTTAATTTATGGAAATATTATTTTGACAGTAAAAGATAATCGCACAAGTTCAGTATATTTATAAGATCTTAAGCGACTGGATTCCATTTTAAAACCATTACAATACGATTTATAGAAAATAGTACTCTGACAGTTCAATTTTATCGCAAGAGTGCGTTGTTTTAATATCTTCGAGATCTTAAAAGATATTCTCATTAATGCATTGAGCGAACGGGTAAGGCTTCAATGGGACCTCCATCATAACCAAGTAAAGTTACGACAATTGGTTAAATTACGGAACTAGTTCTGCCACTCTGACCCACATAAAGTGGTCAACTGGTTTCCGCTTTGCCATTGCCCATTTGATTCATGGGCATTGGATATTACTGAGAACGGGTTGCAGATCAATAAATACGCAGTCTTTATGGTCGGCGGAACTAGTTCAGCGCTGACGGATCGTAAATTTGTGCACTTTATGGAGTGATGCAAACTCTGGGTTCTCACGATTTCGTGATGCTGTGCAATTAAGCACGGTGATCATCTTTCATTTTGAGTTAATGGCTCACGCCCATGATCACATCACTGCTTATAATGCTGTTATATACCAATCAAGCATGCACATTTTGCAATACAAGTGCACTGCCCACCTAATCTTCCTCAAAATAGTTCGAGATTATGTGTGCAATCAACAAATGTGACACCTTTTCGCATTGTTACTTTCAGTGGAATAATTGTTCTGGCAATTTCCACAAATGAATTGAATACTGTTGTCCAAATATAACATCGTTATTATTTCTCTTGCACTCTTCGTGTTTCTGACAAAAAGTGCAAGTTTCATTCATTCCTTAATGGGTCAGTCAGTCATCATTGTCCGGGGTGTGTTGACCTCGTTCCCATCAAGGTTAATGCAATGCGAGCCACCAAAGTGTCGGATCAACGAAATTAAAGCATTATACGCTTGTGGGAATTGCTCAATTAAAACAATTCGTCATTATTGGCGAACCAATTGAGGCTTTTTCTTTATCTCTCTTTCGGTGCTGGATTTTCACTGTTTACTCTCCATCGAGTTTATCTGCAGGTTCTTCTCTGGGTTTCCTACCAGGTGCAAATTCCATGAATTTCCAATTACTTCATTCAGCTTTGAGGCTTTTTCATTCAAGCGAATTTCTGCGCCAACTAATTAGACAATCCAAATGCCAGGCACGAGCACAGGTATACAAACATATGTATGTACATGCGGCCCAGAACGGAACTGATTGGAACCGAATGGAACCGATTGGAACCAATTAAACCCACCTGTTCGCGGCTGCGACGACGTTGATACAGATGCACCATGGTCTTTTTAGTAAACTTAAGTTCAAATCACTGGTGGATCATTCGCACTATTTGCCACTTGAACAAAAACGGATATATCCTGTCTGTAGAAATTGGGGGCTCTTGGGGTCTTCACTTCCCTTTTCGCGACACGCCGCGTCCGAAGTTTCTTGTGTACTGAGAACTGCAAACACTCGCGACCACTTGGTTTCGATCGCCGAGCAGAGCGGAAGGCAGCTCTGTCGACGTCGCAATCATCGTCATCGACTGATAGCGCTACACTCAAAGAAGACAAACTTGATTTAAACAAGCTTATGAATATTCAAAAAACTAAATCTATTGGGTTCCTTTAATTTCTAATATTTTTAAAGAACTCAAGTTTTCGAAGATCTTAACGGTTTTGTTGGTTCAATATCTTAAGATTGGTCATAAAGAGGAGCTGGTTAATATTAAATTTAAAAGATTTACAAGTCGGAGAGGTTCGGTATGTGATAATATATTATTGATAACAATTTTTTTATTTATTATTATTTATTTATTTATTTCAAGATGTAATATGTAGTCATTGAAAATGGCATTCCGAACCCATTAACTATTTGAAAATCAACAAAGTAATTTAACTTTCGGCATATTGTATCTAGAACCGATGAGCTTATGTATCTTAAAGTTGATCATGTCAAGAAATAAAATACTACTTGAAGAGGACTCTTATATTTTTTGGCTCAGTGTCTATCCGCTGCGCTGCTGCGGTTAACGAACTGCAGGGGCAGAGAACACGTTGAGCGTTTTCTCGGAAGCGGAGACGCGGGCGGCGCCAGCGGAGGCATACCAACAATTTGAGTCATGCGGGAGTCGCTGGCGAAGCCACCATATGTCACCCTTCGACCGGTGCACAGTGGGCCAGATCGGTGATAGCGCCGATGTTTGATTAGTGCTGCGACAAGCGATAACTTATCAACAAATTGGGTTCGTGAGAACTCGAGCTTTTATCTGGAGAAGTTCGCAGAAGTTTCCATTCAATGAACTGAAGCCTATTAACTTGAAATTCTATAGGAGCTCACGTTCTTGTGCGAGTTCTCATAAATTAATTTGTATTTTTTGCTTCACGAAAAAAAAACGCAAGTTCACGCTTAACATCGAGGAATTGTTAGAATTGTCACTGATTTTTAACTATTTATGGGGAATGCGAAGACAGATAGTTTAAGTTTCTTTTGAAATGCGTTTTCCAGTTACAGTTAATTGCTTTACTATCTAAAGTTTATAAATAAATACATTTTCGTAAAACAAATTATTTCTAAATTCAATCAATGGGCAAAAACTTATTCCAGATCATAAAATACAACATTTTGGGACCTATTGGAAAAATTGTCCCATTTTTATAACACTTTGAACCAGTGTGCGGGTCCAGGGATTCCTTTGAAGCGGATTCGGATGATGTGAGGCCCGAAAGAGAGGTGAGCGATGCTATGCGTCATCGTATTTATGATCCTCACCTCTTCTTCTTAAATCGCGTTTGTTTGACTCGCGTCTTTCTACGAATACATTATCGCAACGGAGTCTGAGACACGGGGGCTTAATGGTTTTGATGGTCATAATATTATAAAAGAGACTTAATAAATCCGGTCGGGAGTCGAAATTTGAATCCTTTAATCCGTAATTAGAGTATTTGCTCCCAACTAGGCAACTTTCAATTGGAAAAGCAGTTCCCAAAACACACATGTTAAGTGGAACTGGAACTGGATATCTGGTATTTGTTTATGATGTGTCATCCGTCGGTTGTGGGTTTGTTGTTTGTTTGTTAGTTGTTAGCCTAGGCCAACAGGTCACCAAGTCTTGTCTAATTTTAGATACCCGCTAATGGCCCCGCGGGCGCTACTTTCACTTTTCCATTGCGGGGATCACAGGGTCGGGGCGGGGCTGGACTGGAAATCAAAAAGGTTTATCGGAGAGAGTCGCTTGAATGCCCCGGATTGTGACTAAGTCCAGTGGAATGGGTCAGCAATGGTGGGCAGTCAAAAAAAAAATGTAACGTGGTGATGCGCTGATATATCAATTCCACGAAAATCTCTCAATAAATCAAATGAAAAATGTTTACAAAAGATCATTAGTTTGTTTTGTTCTGTGGGAGTTTTTAACATGCTACAGCAGATGATTAATCTTTAATGTTAAAAGAATGCCTATGTATTCAATTTTTTCCCAAAATTTAATGATAATATCTTTAAAAATAGAGGTATCAATAAAAAAATTTCACACAGATCAAATACATTTTTGGTCCAATCAAAAGTTTGATGGTATTATTTGAATTTTTAATAGCTTTGCGACTGCGACTATGGTAACATTCTCTCTTACTATTATAGCTGGTTAAACTCATGTTTTGCATAGCTAGTATACAAATCTATGATTCAGGAAAGCATCTAAAAATATCGCATGGAGAATCAGGCAGCATAAACAAAAGATTGTTTGTCAATTAGCAGTGCTAAAGAAATAAAGAAAGCAGATAGAGAAAGAAGAGAGTCGGAGAAGGCGGAACGCGGTTCAGTCACTTCCGGTTTCGGTGCACAGTTCGAGTTTGAGTTCTGGTTATGGTTATGATTACAGTCAACGTAAATCTCTTGGCCAGAGCCAGTTAATAGAGCAACAAGCAGCAGCAACGTCCCTCTCATTTCCCCCAAGCCTTCTAACTGTTTGCATGCAAAGTAAAAGCGACAGACTTTGCAAACTGTTCCAATCCGTTCCGTTCAGTTCGGTTCGGTTCTACCTGGAAACTGTAAAACCGCTCGGGGCCATGGCTAAATCGGTGTCTCCGATCTCTGGAGAAGAGTCTTCGACTGCGACTGCGACTTGGAGTCTTTACTTAACGGACTTTGAGCATGGAAGCCGCTGGTTCTGAAATACAGCCAACGATCAGCGATTGGAAAACTCCCAGGCAGACAGTTAGATTCGCTTGGGGAAAGACCCAGACCAGACCCAAACTACACATGTAGATTGGGCGGAGAAAGCAAAAAGAGGGGGCTACGGATGCAGTTCCCGGGCTGGAAATACTATATTGACCAGCCATATCTGACAGATCAGCATAGTTACTGCGCACAGATCACTCATCCATTTATGATTTCAGTGCTGACTAATCTGGACGTGAACAATTACTCTGTAAATGGAGCATTAAATCAGAATATATTTACGCTGAATTGCACTCGATCACTGAGTTGGCAGCAGTTGGCAAGTTAGGTCACTTTATAACTTTATAATTATTTTCTCGGTACACATAGAGAAACGAAGGTGATTTTATCAAGCAGAACTATGTAAGGGCATCACTATAAAAACCGAAAATTATTAACATAAGCTGGGAAATTACATTATGTTATGGATTTGTTTCTGGTAATCTTTTTATACAAATCAAAGTGCAAAAGATGTTATTAAAAGTACAAATTATATGAAAATCTTTTAAAGTAATACCTACACAGATGAATTTGTCTTGATTTTACTTCTCCCGCACTGTAACAATGCAGTGAGCTCGGAAATAACCCTCATCTAGTTAACTCTCCAAGCCCTCCCCCAAGGTCCTCACTTCGCCATTATTTACGGCTCCTTTCGACGATTTCCTTTTACAGGATGCAGGATATTGCTGACAGATTGTTGTCAGAGAATATTGCACAGTTTCCAGCAGGAAACGCACAACGAAGGGGTTTCCAGGAGGGGCTACTTCCTTTCACACTTTCGCCATTGATTCGAAATGCTCTGCTAAGGCGCATTTATTATGCTTCCGCTTAATGCGCAGTCGCAAATTGGTTTACGGGGAGTTATATGGGGTGTTTTGGGATGATGGGGTGCAAAGAAGAGCTGACCCCAAAGCGGATTGTTATTATGGCAACTTGCAGCGGGACTAAAGACCGCTCAGTTTGCCTCTTGTGTTCGCTAGCTCGAATCAACGTGTGTAAAGTATAATACGTTTTTAAGGATAGGTTTTTTTTGAAAAAAATATATAATATAATACGTTTTAAGTATCAACTGGGAATACCTAAACAACATAAATTTAAATAACGCCATCACTTCATAAATCATCATAGGTATAACATTTTATCAGAAAGTTAAATAATTATGCCTTTAAAAATTCAGTTTTTATGTGTAAAACAGATATGACATAAGATATATGTAAGTTTCGAATAAATTCTAATCGATAAAGTCATTGTGGCAAGTTACAACTAAAATACAAAATATGGTGAAGTCTGTTCATTTAGACTTTGTTCAAGAACAACTATAATGCTGTTCAACGGTATATCTTCATTGTCTACCCAAATAGGCACCCATTCTTCAAGCCCCCCTTCTGGTACGCCCATTTGCATATGAACAAACGCTTTTAGAGAGAAATGCAAAGAAGCAGCAGCGAAAATTCATTTGCATGCGAATTGATGTCGGGTCTGCCGTTCGGCTCGTGTTTCTTGTGCGATGAGATGTGTTACATATGGTCCGAATCCGAGTTCCAAACGGAACTTGGCTAATAGCAAAAGAAATGCGAGGCGAAAAACAAAAGAAACATGCTGTTGGATTAGCGGGTAAAGGGGAATGGAACATGATTTCATACTTCCAACAGCTGCAATGAATTTTCGGAAATATATGTTAGCATTTTTCATTGGAAAAAGTAGGTGAATAATTAGGAAGTACAGCATACGGTGTTTTGTAATAAGACCGATAAATTTCTTGAAATTGTTAGCCGACACTTATGGAATTCTTCAATTTTAAATTTAAATTTAAATTTCAAGGAACTTACATTACTAAGATTTAGTCTATTAGTCATTAAGATTTGATGAAGAGGCTAAACAAATTCACTATTAGCAATATCTTAAGTTTCTAGATCTAACACTCTTGTTTCCCGGTATTAGGCAATTTAGTAGACGTTTTTGGGATCTCTCTTTGTTCTGGCCTTAATGAAGTGTAGGGTTTATATTTAATGTCCGATCTGATAAGATATATACTTGGTATAACTAAACTGGGGTCCATTGTTTCTCTCACCATGCGCACAAATACAGCATCAAAGATAAGTATGTGTTCTTTTGGATTTCCCGGTAATTCTCAGGTGTTAAGACAACTTCAGAGAACTCTTTGTTCGATGCTAATGAACTAAAGAAGAGCCAAGAGCAAGAAAAAGAGGTTGAGAAAGAACAACTGAAAAACACATCACGAAGCTTACAGGAGAGAGGGAGAGACCAACAAGTTGAAAAGGAATAAAGGAGCAAAAAGGTAACTAAAACGAGCTATAAATAGCCCAGCAAAGGCAATAAAACTGCAAGTGACGGAGAGTGACTACACAGCAACCAAAACCCATTCATATCTAGTTTGATGTTTAGATTTCCATTCTTCATTTGTTCAACTAAAATCGCACAATAAGCTTCTTTCTTGTAATCCAATATCAAATTTAAAGTAGGTTTCCTTTCGTCATTAGCTCAACTAAAATCTCACAAAAAGCTTTCTTGTAATCTAATTTCAAATGTAATGTGTTCCGAAATATGGTTTTGAATTTTTTAAAAGGAAATTGGTTTAATTTTTATCGTAAAATTATAAAATTAAGCTTCACATAAATTATTTATGTGTAGCAAATGAGAGAGCCACAGAAAGAGAGCATCCTGAGATGAGAGAAAAGCTTAGAAAGTAAAAATCAAAGCCATGTGGGGGAAGGAGATGCATGCACACCTTTGCAATACTCAGGAAGAGACGCTGATGACAGCCGCTGTTCTGATCCCTCTTGCTGCTGTTGTTGTTCCTATCCTCCGGCTTGTCCTTATTCCATTGCGTTTGCTGCATTTTGAGGCATTTTTCAAAGACACACACACATCCACTAGAACCAACACTATTGCACACACAAAAACAAATAAATAACAAATAATTTAATTCCACATCACAGAAAAACGGACCGAACGCACGGGGCGGATGAAACGAGATGAACGCGCGTCGACTGACAACAAACAATGAACACGGCGAGCGGCGAAAACAGCGAGAAACGCAGCCAGCAGCCTCTGCTTGCGTCGACAGAGCGGCTGCGCACGCGCAGAAAAGAAAGAGGAGTGCACAGTGGGTGAATTAGTGGAATCAGTGGTCACTTTTCAATTTTGATATTTGTAATGGGGAAGTGATAATAAAAAATTGGCCACAAGCCAGATTTCTGGGAAAAAATAACGTTAACACGTTTAATCCTTTAATTCTTGCAATCATCTTCGAAAATATGAGCTCCTCATTACAAAAGTTATGAAAATTTGTATTAATACATACATATTTCATTAAGTTAATGAGAACTAATTTTATCTTCTTTTAAAATCCAGCTAGCACACTGTTGAGCGGAGAGAGGCTGAGCGAGTGGAGCAGCGCAGTCCGCCCCATTACAATACGTTGTTGTTGCCGCTGCTGCCACTGACACAGTTCAATGTCAGCCGGAAAGAGAGAAAGAGAGAGAGAGGGGAGGGTAAGAGCGGGAGCCCATGTTAAAATTAAAAGGATGCCCATTAACTGTGATCATGATCTGTTAATCGCCAGCAAGTACAGTGGTACTTCGCCAGGCAAATAATATAATTTGAAATACAAAATAGGATATTTTGTAAACTGTAAGCAGAAATAAATTAACATTTTGAAATAACTCTGGATAAAAATTAAATAAAATTAATCGGGGCATCTTTTTTGAAACGCAATTAAATTAAATCTACAATTTTAAAAACTGAAAAAACTGTGGGTCCGTTTTTTTCCGTCTAACCTTTTTAATTAATAAATAATAATAGTACATTTTATTTTGTATTGTTTGAGATAGAAACGTTTTATAGCGATATTTCTTTGAGGGATGCCTCACTGTATTCTAACAGAAGTGCGCAGCGAGCTCAGTTGGAAGCCGCCAATGAAAATGGGAAAAAATACGAAGGAAAATAACTAAATCAAGCTTAAGTCTTAATGCCGAAAGGCACGGCTCGCTGAGCGGCTTTTGGCTTAATTTAATTTATTTTCTTTGCGCTGCTCATGACTTCTTATGAAAGTGTTAAGAAATTTCGCCGCATTTTCGAGTGTCGTAGGAAAAATTTCACTTGCTTCGCGTACGACTCACATATTGTATATATGCGAGAGTGCTTTTTGTTTTCTACCATTTGCGCATGATTATTGTTATTATTTTTCATTATTATTACGCTTTCTTGCGGTGCGCGCCTGTCTCTCGATTATTTAAACAAAACGCTCGCTTAACTTTGTTTTCTGCATCGCCCCTCATGACCCGCCTCCCCCTTTTTACTGGGAGGCGTGACATTGAGACAAGACAAAAGCCCCAAGCATCACGCTTCTGCTGCTGTTGTTGTTATAATATTATAATTATTATTACTACTTTTGTTGTTGCCGCTGTGCACACATCAAGCAGAAAAACTTTCTTTTCGATGCGTTTTTTTTACACAAATCCGCATCGAAAAGAAATCACCGCAGCTTAAACACACATATGTTAATACCGATGAATCGATCTGATTGCTACAGTCAAACTTCAGTAAGAAAAAAACCCACAACTGATACAGTATTCTCAATAGTCAAATTATTATTGCGTATATTTTCCATTTTAACGTTAAAACTTTATGTGTTCCTATCATGTATTCTAAAAAATTGGTTCCAAAATAAAACCTATAGGACTGGAAACCATGTCATATTTTTGAATGAATTGTTGTATGAACTAAATAAATATATCAATATCTGTATATGGTTTTACATGTTTTGGTTTACTATCAAACTTTTCATAAGATTTAGGATAAGATCTTAACATTTTTGAAAACACTTTCTCGTTAAACTAGATTTCTCTTGTAATAAAAAATAAAGTTAATTTACAATCTCCACTAATTTTTGGAGGTTGTTCTAGTTTAAAGAAGTGCGACTGTCTTTGGCGCCCTCAAAACAAGTTTGATCCATAAATTAGCCACCGCTGTTGGCCCCATTCCTCATAGAAAGTGATCACAAATGGGATTAGGGGCATTATTATTCCCCGTCCCCCGCATCTATTTGATTACGTAACAGAGCAAGATTCGGAACCACCCGAAAAACCTGGTATTGCCTTCGATGATGCGACACATTTCTCCAGTTGGCAATGGAACGTGACTAAGCTGAGCAATTGAAAGCATTTCTCATTCCCCATTTCTCTAACTTAAGACTTCTGACATAAGTACCGCCAACTTTTAACTGGTTTATTACGAAGCTGGTAATTTAAATTCTTGACACAAAAACTAATTTAAAAATTTATTTGGAAAGAAAGTGCTATGTATTTTTTGTCCATTCGTAAATGACGCAATAATTATAATTTCATACGTCAATCATTAGGATATTACAAATTGATCTGAAGGAAAAATATTTGCAAACTTCAACAAGTGAGTTATAATTGAATTAGCATAAATAATCTATCTTAACGAAACTTATATTTAATTAATAACAAATTCTTTGTGAAAATATGTACTGGAACATTTATTTCTTTTGGCATTAACCGAACATTTTCAGACAGTTTATAATGTCTGCAAGTCTAAGGCAATAATCATATAGAATCAAAGCCCTTGGCAGCCCTTTCAGAGTCCATATTAGTATTCCCTCCACTCCACTGTGGACTCAATTAAGTCTGCCATATATTCATTCCCCCTCCTATCCACTCCGTTTTATGCTTCTGGCACAGGCGATGGGCAAACTGCCAAGGGAGCATAACAGGCTTAGAAAAGCAACAAAACAAATGAAATGTTGCCTTTTTAATTATCAGAAATGGCTAAAAACTGCTAAACAGGAGAGCCAAATGTGGGAGAAACTAACAGCAACATGTTTTTAGGGCTCTATGTAGGCCAAACAAATGAAAAGCCCTCGGTCCCCACATCTAGCGAACTCTATACCTCCCCCAAAACTCATTTCTTTTGCACAATGTAAATCGGTCAAACCAATCAAAAGCGAAAAAAAAAAATAACAATGCCCCCTAAGAGTTCTTTCAACTTGGTTTTTACGTGCTCCTCTGTTTTTTACACCTGGCAAAAATCATAGATACATGGTTTTGGTTGGTTATTTTTTTCAATTTGTAATGCCATAACAAGTTAGCATGGTCAACAATTGATGGCTGTTTTTTGGACTTCAATTGAAATAGGTCTTTTTCATAACTTTTAATCCTCATAAGCCGACCAATGAAGAGTTAAAACACTTTAACTTCTTCTTATTCAAAATCACCGCAGATTTTAAATATAAAAAAAAAAACTAAATATATTTTTCCTCGTGTACCATAGTTGTGATTTTTGTTAAAAATGTTTAAAAGCCCGCGGCATTCGAAAGTGTTGAGTATGGGATCAAGACAAGTTGGGAGTCGAGAGATGAGAGATGAAAGATACGGATGAGATGGGGACACATGTCATTGTCAGGCCGTGGTCCAAATGCAATTGAGAAAATATCGCAATGAAGACTTGAGCACGACACAATGAGTTGAGAGGAGGAGCTGGAGAAGATGGAGAACAGCGGAAATGAAAACTCAGACAATGGAACCCTCTCGCATTAGAAACTATATTTGTATAAGAACCAACAGCAGCAAAAGTAAAGCAATGCAAAGCCAACAATTTTAGTAGTAATAGTTTAAAAGAAAGCCAAAGAACTGGGCAGAGCAACGAAAAAGAAAAAGAGATGGTAAAAAAAAGGCGAAAAAGTTAGATACAGCACTGTAGGTACCCAATAAGAGAAAACTTATAAAACTTATAATAACTTATGGCCTTAAAACTTTTAGATCAATGTCTAAGAAAATATGTTTATATCTAAATTGTTCAGTTTCTACTAAATTTCTGGATAAGTTTTTTAAAGTTAATGTTAACTGTATTTTTATTTGAGCAAAATATATAGAAAATATCGTCCTTTACAAGTTTCTTAATATTTTGTAGCTTAAATGTGCACATCCAACTAAATGAAATAAAATCCCCCGGGGAATCTGTGATCTTTTGCTATATTTTTGATGTAAGGGCCTGGCTTTCTAGGTTCTTCAAATAGAGTTGCCTTTTACCTTATCGTACGCTCCCTATCTGGTATTTACTGTACTCGCGAAGAAGAAGTCATTGCGGAAGCACAGAGCAGGCCAACGTCAAGTTAAATCCACGCCAGCATCTAAAGCTCAGAGGCGGAGCATCAGCGGCAGATTGGGATTCGGAATCAGAATCAGAATAAACTGGCGACGGAGGAGAGCTGCTGGGTCTCTGAGAGCCACTCACCCGGTCGGTCACATGCGAGTGTGCGAGTCTAGGGAGTTCAACAACCTGCATGATTGGCACGGAGGCATGGAGGCAAACAACAAAAACGAAACACAATGCCCTAGCTGCACACTACTCCATAGTGGTTCCCATCCTCATCTTTATCCTCCTCCATCGCCTGTAGGAGCAATCGCAATAGTTCCAATTATGCATAAGTAAATGGGAAATCGTAATAAATCCCGGACCCGGGATCTGGCCACGATTAAATGGCCGGAGTCAGATGGCCAGACGGCATCCATTGACCCACTTCGCTGGCAAATAAATACCCGGGGACGCGGAGCGGTTGGTTGGCAAACAATCGAAGGGGTAACAATACAGGAAGCACGGAAAAGCGCGGAGATTCCGGAGGTTAATAAGGTGCAGATCCAAGATAAACTCGAATTATTGGTTAGGAAAGACCATCATAATGAAACATCTGTTCTAGAACTAAAAACTCTTTTAAGAAGACAATTAGAATAATAAACGAATTATTGAATCAAGTTGGGTTATATTTTTGAAAAGTAATCATATATCCCCAACAACCATATTTTAATTAACTCCAAACGAAACAGTTTTAATCAAGTTATTGATAAAATCAAAATCATCCCTGAAACAAACTTCTACTAAACGTTTAGTCTTGTAAACATTCTACATACTGGAACCTGTATAGAAATGTATATTTAGACAACAAATGTGTTTATTTACATTTATACTATAAAGTATAATATATAAGCAAGTACACAGAACTATTCAGAGCAATTTCCACTTGCGTCCATACGAGTATCAATGAAATATTTTCAAACAATCAGATTTGTGCCTACATATATTCCATAAATACCTAAGCAAGTGTATTTTAGTAATCGGGCGCAAATTGCGCAATTAAATTTTCCAGACGCAAAAGGTTTTCATCACTAAGCTGAAAGGCGTAATTTTTGGAGTGTTACAAAGTAGTTTGCCCTAATAGAATACCCTAAAGATTAATCTTGCAACTAATAGCCATATCTTCTTAGTTGGTTTAGATAGTTGTGTGGTTACTTAGAGATAATTAGTTAATGTTTATTGGGTTAAAGCTTGTCAGGCATTAAAAGCTAGATTTAAGTCTTATACATATTTCAACTCCCGAAGGTGAAAAAATAAAACATTCGGTCGTGGGGAGTCTACACCTTTTGTAGTTTATATTTTTTGCGCATTCGTCGGCCTGGGCTTGTCTTTGCTCTCCCCTATATATTTTTTTTGCCTGCATGTTTATTTTCGGAATATTATTTTTGCTAGGCGCTCGGGGCTCCCCAAAGAGAATCGGCGGGGGGGAAAGGAGGAAAGGGGGAGGAGCAGCCCCCGTTCCAGTTTGATTTCGGTCCGGGCGGGCGGCTGTTCCACTTTGGGCTGTGGGATTTGTGGGCTGTGGGCTGTTGGCTTTTTGTGGGCTATGATAAGAGAGCACTGGGACTGGGCTGACCCATTTCCACGAGCGTACACACATGGGCCCAGTTGCACAACCGACGTTTTGTTTATTTTCCATTTTATTTTCATTCTCCGCTTTTTCGTTTTTAATGAAAGTTATTGTGGCTGCTATCTGTGGCACAGCCCTCGCGGCTTAATCAACGCAAATGAGGAAGCCCAACCGGCTGGCTGAGCAAACGAAATCAAGAACAGGCATAGCAACAGGCTGCCGCACCTCATCCTCAATCCCCATTCGCCCACTCATCCTTCGGCCGTCCTGGGTTATTGTACTCTGACTGGGGGTTCAAAATCCCGGCACAAGGATGCCATAATAAATCCAGGGCAACCGAAAAGGGCAATAATGGTGGGAAGGAAGCCAAGTCGGAGGACAGGACGAGCAGTCAACTGCAATGGGACACAAATATTTCATAACTTTTGAAGCGCTCGCAGCGCAGAGGTGGGTTGCAGGAAATGCCGCAAAGGGTTCCTTCAAAGGATTCGAAAAAGGGTTACACAAATGTTACTATTATTACCATAATTACCATATAAAGAATGTTTTGATTTTGTTATATTTGTATAATAAAATGTATTATAAAGTAAGAATAACAAATAATTCCTTAATAGTTCTGCCTTTCATATATGTATTGTTAATGAAAGATCTTAAGTTTAGAAAAGGACTTTCATCTAGTTGTTTTTGCGATTTAAACCCTTTTTAGTAAAATCTATCACTCAAGACAGTTTTAGTGCGAATCCACTTGTGTTCAGCAACTGAGGACCCCCCTTCCACAAAGATGAGCCTCGCCACTGGCGTATTTACTGCACAAATAAATTTATTTGTGCACATGGAAATGAACGGAGGAACTGAAAACCAGAGAGCTGGGTGAAGTGTTGTCATTGTTGTTGCCCGACTGTCTGCCCTTTTTATGAGCAATTTGATTTATGCATCGAGCAGACAGGCAGACAGACAGACAGATGAGGGTGGATGCCAACAAAAGTTGGCAAATATGCAACAATGAAAACGCAACAATTTGTAGTTAGTAATGTCAATTCAAGTGAAATCAATTGTGCGCACACAAATATGCGGGGGAAAAGTAGGAGACAGTGTGGCAATTTATCAAAGGATGCCAGCGAAGTTGTCATTTCCAGGACTTTTCATCAATCGAATCGTCGTTTGAATGCCAGGAGAGAAATGTGAGTTTGCCATTTCTTTTACGCTAAGGTTACGCCAAAGGTCTCCTTTTGAATACCTATATATTTTAATTATACATGTAGTAATAACAAAGCAATAATTTATTTCATTAAGCTACGAATCTCAATCGTTTTAATCAAGCAAAAAAACGAATTTAATATTAATCTTCGTAAAGGTTGAGTGTAAAAATCATTTAGACACAAGGTTAATGATTAGAATTTGATTACACATGACATATTTAGCGTTTTTAAAACAATACAAAACGGCTAAGTAAAATTGTGCTCTTATTGGCAAATTAGAAAATAAACCTTAATTTGACCTTCTCCCCTTTTCTCACATTATCATAACAACGATAAATTTGCATGAATGAAAATTTCGCTTTAAACCAATTTGAAGACCCGAAAAAGATTTCCTAGGAAATTTGAAATTCCGAGTTGAGTAGACGGGGGTATCTCTAGAAGAAAATAAATAAATTATCAGGAAAGCACATAAACAAAGTCACTTCCGATTGGCGTAGAGAAAATGAAAATTGGGAAAAACTGACGACTACAAAGGAATTTCAGGGTACAAAAATAATGAACCCATTGCGGAACGACGAATAAATTTCGTGGAATTATTTACCAATTAAAAGAGCAAAGAGATTAAAAAGAAACTGTAGCTGTAGATTTTTTAAAATTTTATTACATTTTACAATCAAATTAATACAAAAACAATTTCTTTTTTTTCCTTCTAAAAATCATTTAATAATTTTTTACGAAAATGTTTTGGTACATTTTTACCTGGTTTTGCATTAAACAAAATTTTATAACACATTTTGAAAAAAAAAAATTAAACAGAGAATTTATATATATTTTTTTATTTGAACAATAAATTACTCACAGATAATAATGAATAATTATTTTTTAGAATTGTTTATCTGTTATTAGCAATAACTTAAAGAATTTTGAAGTCGCAATTTTATGAAATATCACAAATGAATGTATATTGTGGAGATTTTTTTAATCGCTTTGAGCAATGAGAAGGAAATTTTGAAATCCCAATTAAATTAATATATTTAGTCGCTCTTTTCCACTCACTCTGCTCTTCTCCCCCTATCACTCTTTCTCTCTCCTTCGCACTCGTTAAGTGATTAAGCAAACAATGGGAGTGCAATTGTGTTTGTGTGTGTTTGACAGTGGGATTGGGAACAACGATCTTTGCAATGCGAAATTGACCGGCCTTAAAGAAACAACTACTGTCATTTGGGCAAAGGGAAAGCGTTTTTTCACCATTCGTCTTTAGTTTTTCCCTGCAACTAAACCGGTTTTTGACCCTTTTGCAGCAACAACAACTGCACTCCGGAAATCACTTTCCCTAATGAAGCGAACCCACACAAACACATAATCACAAAAGCATTGTTGTTGTTGCTGCAGTGATAAGAGAGCTGCTATGGAATGCGAGTGGGAGGGAGATAAACTGATATAGGAGGGTCGGGGGCGGCACGTGTTAACCGACATAAACACGCACACACATTTGCATTATATATTGCAATTGCGGAACATGCACACAAATACCCCTACACAAGAAGTTTGCCCAACATACAAACTCACACAGGTAAACTCGCATAGCGACACACATACACATACACAAAAATACAGGTTGAAAACACGCACGCAAAATTTCGGTAAACGTTTCGTTAAGCCTTTCGGTTTTTAAGGGTTTTCCGCGTTGCAAGTCCTTTTTCCCTCAGCCCACGGCGATTGCCACCCCATGCCCGCCTCTTGGCGGGTGTGTCAGTGGGCGGCAAAGCGGGTAAAGTGGCCCCGCCTACCGCGCCAACGCGTATAAACAATATTTATTTGTTTGGAACGGAACACTTACGATTTGTTGTTCTTCTGCCTTCGACGCCATTTTTTACCGAGTAAATAAGAATGTGACCATGTTCTAGCCGCCCGAATATTACCATGGGTTAAAATTAACTAAAAAATCAAGCAGCACTTGACAGCTGGTTCGTGTCTTAGCTAGTCGTAAGTCCAAACTAAGTATTAAGGGTATTCTATAATAAACACTTGTAAATGATTTCTTAACTTCATTTTATAATTATTATTCAGTTTATTTGTGTAAAATTTAAAGGCCTATCTTTAAGTTCCCTATGCTTGGTTTCTTATGTATAATCCCTAGAATCCTAAAATAAAAAAAACGACTTAATTCATCGAATGTTTGTACCTTCTCAACTATTTAATTACTATCATCTTCCATACAAAACGGGTTATACAATTTTATACTCATTATTCCAAATTTGTGTGAAAATTTAGTTTAATGATTTAAAACACATATTTTAAGGGATAAAATCTCATTCCGATTTATTAAGCTACGTGCCTAGAAGAGCAGTTAGAGCTCACTTAACTGCCAAGATTGAGGTCACCAAGCCATTACATTAAAAACAAAACACTTTTCTTTTTGGTTGTTAAAAATGTTTAATAAATAAAACTAACTACACATAAAAAATTGTTTCGTTTGGGGAAAAAAAAAAAACGTTTTGAGGCTGAGAAGCCTAAGCCTTGGATGGATTCTCCTCGCTGCTGGGAGCGGGCGAGATTTCCGCCTTAGGTTCGGGGGCGACGGGAGCAGGAACAGGAGCAGGAGCAGGGGCATCTGCCACCTGGGCAGTTTTGGCCAGCTCGCCAGGAGTGGGCTTCTTGGGCGCCGGTTTGCCGAAGATCGCCTTCTCGATGCCCAAAATGGGTGCCTCAAAGGCCAAAGTGGCGAAGATCGAGGCGGTGAGGGTGATGCCGAAGTCGTGCCACCAGCGGAGGATCTATAAATGAGATTTTAGATTAATAGTTTTCAGGTTTTAGTTAGTTTTTAGGAGGTTAAGTCTAAGGACAAAGGAACGGGAGTTCCAGAAAGAAATTGGGTTAATTTTTTACTATTACATAAGCAATTAACTAGGTTGAGAAAATTCATTATTTGCTCCTGTTTATTTCATGGAAGAACAACGAAAATATAAGTTAAGAACCGTGAAATGTGATACGACTATTGAGAAAGCATTGATAAAGTTAACCAGTCTACTAATGGTATTTAGACTATAGTAACCCCATCTACTCACCGCATCGTAGTTGGAGAAGTGGGTGTCCGTCTGCAGACGAGCGGCGTTGACCAGCTGGACAATGCGATGGATGACGTACATGCAGTAGGTCAGTCGGCTGAAGCCGGTAAAGAAGCCCCAGGACAGGAAGTCATTGACCAGGCCGCCGTGGCCATTGTAGCAGGCCCAAACGATCCAGCCGATGGACAAAGCCCACGAGGTCCTGCTCAGAGGCTCGAAGAAGGCGCCCTCGATCAGCGGGGAGTCGGGTGTGTCCGGCAGGATGCGCCAGTAGGGTCCCCACATGCAGGCCAACATCGTTCCAATGGCCACAAACCATCCGGTCAACACCAACGGCTTGACCATCGGGATCTGGCGTCCACGGTTACGGGTGAACAGGAAGTAGCCGAAGATCACGCCAATCAGCCAGGTGGGAATGCGCGTATGGGTTGGATAGTAGGTCAACCGCTGGCGCAGATCCACATGATCGTCCTGCACGCGGAATAGCGTGAAGTCGTTCAACATGAAGGTGGCGAAAGTGCCGCCCAGGCACAAAATCAGGAAGATCACGATGGGCACCAAGGCCTTCTTGCCCCATTTCCACAAAGGAATCAGGAACAGCGGCGACAGGAAGTAGAGCTGGGTGTCCACGGCCAAATACCAGGATTGGGAGATGCACTAAGGATGGGAAAAAGGCAATTCCAGATCTATTAATATGGAGGTTTGGTTTCATGTCATTCAACAAATACAGATCTAGTAATTAAGAATCTTGACAGTTTACTAAAAGCTTTTACAAACCAATGAGATTTTGATTTAAATTCATTTTATGACCTTGATTTTGGAAATTTTAAATGAGGTATGTTTTTTTTAAAGAATAAAAACAATTAACCAGTTAAAGTAATTCGATTAAGAGTGGCAGAAAAAGAAATACAATTAATAATAATAATATTTCTGGAGAAAAATCAATGAAGAATAATAGTATAGGGAACACTGGACCATTTAGCAGGGATTATTAATATAAAAGGTAATTTTTTTAAGGACCAAAGTAATTATTTTTTTAATTTCGATCGAGATGAAATGATGTGTATGACGAGAGAAAACTCACAATGCTGTAGGGGAAGGCGTAGTTCTGGATGTAGATCAGCGTGGCCCACCAGGTGTCGGCGCACCTTTGATCCTGGGTGCCCAACTTGAACCACATGGGTCCTGCGCCCGAGTACTTATAGAGCGACATAATGTAGAGGACGACGACGGCCACCACCGGAGTGAGTCGGATGTAGCGATGGAAGTACATCATGGGGATGTTCAGCTTGCCCTTGGTGCGCTCCAATTCGCGGAAGGCGCCCCAGCACATCAGCAGTCCGGACATGAAGAAGAAGGTGTCCACGCAGAGGGATCCGTTCTGGACCAACATCGAATAGGGGGTCTGCACCCAGGTGTAGAACTTGTTCTTGTTGATGTGCGGCAGGTCGTAGAAGGTCATGTACCCATGGCCAAAGACCACCCACATCATACTGAAGCAACGCAGGCCGTTCAGGCAGTGGATCACATTGGGATTGTTCACCTTCTTCACGGTGAAGATTTTGGGGGCGTTGGTCAGCACGGAAAAGGCCACCAACAAGGGTTTCTTGGGAGCTAATGGGGGAAAAGAGGGGTTCATTAGCATACATCACGGACGACTTGCGCCATCTGCAACTTACCTCCATTGCGAGTCTGGATGTAATCGTAAACACTGCTGGCCACCATGAAGAAGATGATCAGCGAGAAGAAGATGCTGTCGAGGTATATAATATTAGTATTATCATCCACACAAATAATTAGTACACTTACATGGCGAAAATGTCAATGCCGCGTAGCTCGATGGGTGCATCGTATTTGCAGCGCGATTCCGTGACCATTTCAAATGTGGATTGGGTAACATCCTGGCCATAAAAGTAGGAAACGGCGTACTTGAGCAATTGATCGGACTTCTCGGGACTGCACGTCGAGGGAATACAGATGCCCAGCTCAAAGAACTCAGGATCTGTTTGTTTGTAACTAATGCGGGCGAACTCTTCGCCACGTTTCTTCACCGAATCATAGAACGTGGTGATGTTCAGGCGGGCCAAGCAGTACTGTCCACGGATTTCATCGCCGTAGGTGGAGGACGCTGCCACGCACTCTTCGTACTGACCCATGCTGATTGTGTGGCCCCAGAAGAGACCCATGGGCAATCGACCCCATGTGTCCGGAACTGCAAGGAATCGAAAAATGCATCCTGATTAATCCATCCTGCTCGAAGGACCACTTTAGGCTCTTAGTGCTGACTCAATTTAAAGACATTTTAACCAATCGGGAAGAAATTGAGTTCTATGAATCACACTATGCTTGACATATATTATTAATTAAATTCGTTAAGTATGGATAAAATCCGGAAAAATACTGCTCGCCTTTCGGTTTTTAATCAAAACCCTGGGAAATAGAGGTCGAATGTTGATATGGTAACCTTTTTGAACACGTTACAAAATTTCCAACAAACTGGCTTTCTTAGCTAAAAAATTATGTTTTTCGAAAAAATTATGATCAAAGAAGTGGCATTCACAAAATTATTATAATAAAATGTATCTCTAATAACTAAACTTTATCAATTCATCATAGTCAAATAACTACTTCTGATTTTTAAGTATTGTAGTAATTAGAGAGCTGTCGCAATACATTCTTAAATAATATGTTATTATTACTGTTTAGAATTTAAGAATTTAAGATAAGTCTAATGATAATCTAGAGGAAAAGAGCTTTATCAGTTCATAATAATCTAAAGGAACAGAACTTTATCAATTCATCATAATTCAAGTACTACTTTTGATTTTTAAGTATTGTATTAATTTGAAGAAGTATCGAAGTACATTCTAAAAATAATACTATATGTTAAGACTAGTTAATGTTGCACCTGCAGGCTTCATGCTTGGGAATTTCATTAGCGATAAGCCGTTAGATTAAAGGCGTTTGATATGATACGGGATAGATACGTTTAATGTAGCGGACCTGTGCAGTTTACTTTTCCTGACTTCTGATTTATGGATATCGTAAATTGCACTCCACTTAAAACCGTCAACATCCGCTGATACGGATTTATAGGTTCCATACTTTACAAACCACTTTGTCGTTAAAATTATGAATGGAATTGTGAAATCACCGAAACGAGGTCACATCATTTAAAGGTAATAATCAGATTTATAAAACCCAGGGATCAGAAGGACAAGTGGACTTATCAGTCTCGCTTTATTTACCTAACAATCTCTTCTATAAATTACAATGCAAATTCCCATGCAAAACCACTTCTCATTTCATGATATCATGTGGGAAATTTAGCAGGCCTTAGCCAGATCTTATCGCTGCCAATTTAGTGATTCAATGGATTTGCAATTGAAATTACGGCACTCATAAAAATGAAATCATGGCGAAATTTAATTTATGATTGGCCAATACAAAACTGATTACGGATAATGCAAAAAGTAAAGTGGATTGGTGGTAATAAAAGGGGTACAAATTTAAAAAGAAGTGGAAGAAAATTTTAAGTATGTAAGTATTGATTTCAAATATTATTCGGGTACGTATCAAAACAATCTTAATTGGATCATTTCAATTATCCTTCATTAACTTTAATGATTCCAATTTATAATTAACGTATTGTTCAATTTTAAATACTTTAGAATGGATCGATAACAAATTTAACTTTAAAACTTTAAAACTCTATAAAGTAAGAAAGGAGATTGAAAACAAAAATAAAGCTATATTTAAATTAAGATCAGTAAAACACAATTTTCTCCTGAAAGGCTATGATCATGTCCAAATTATAATCAGTTAGGCAGATTGAAGATGAATTGGATGAAATAGTTCTATAACTCTAGTACCTAATGATCGAGGTATTTGGTAAAAGCGATCACTGATCCCTAGAAAGAAAGCACCTCCGTCTAATGTATACATTCCAAAGTCATTAATGGCTATGATGACCTTGCCAAGTGTATTCAAGAATTAGATAAGCTATGTATCCTGAACCTAATGTTCAAGGTAGATCACCAATCCCTAAAAAGAAACCACCTCCATCTTATGCTTACATTCCAGAGCCCACTCCTCCAGGTTGTCGATGGCATCCCGGATGCGGTTAATATCCCGATCGCACTGGTCGTCATCGTAGGTTCCTTCCCTGGAGATGCGGGCCACCTGGTTTCCGGTCTCATTGGCCAGCTGTGCGTGCTGGGAGGCCAAATTGAAGAACTGGTGGGCCAGACTGCTGCTCAGCGGGGTTGAGTGACCGGAGAGAAGGTAGTTGGAAGACGGATCCTGAGCGGCAACGGTTGCGATCAGCAGCGCGACTGCCAGGACACCGAAATGGTCCTTCATAATCCTGTGCGTTGGATACAGGTACAGGTATAGGTACTGGAATCTGGAGTGCGCGTCGCGACCACCTAAAGGTGGAGTGTGTTACTGAGTGGGCGATCGCTGAGATCGTGCTTCTTTTATAGGCTAGTTCTTTTTTTTCGGTTGGATTTTCGCATAGGTGCGATTCAAGTGGGCACTTGAGGGCGTCGATGACCAAGCACCGCTCGCCCCTGGAGTCTATAAATATTGCTACTGGTCTTGTGTAGCCCCCCGATAAGGGTAAAACCTCTCCTCCAGCGTCTGCTAATCAATTGGCTTGCATTGCCCGCTTTATCGCCCCGTGTGTCTTATCTGGCTCTCGTCCCCCCGCTCCACCATCCACCGATCACCAGCACCTGGTTACCCCGACTTCCAGATCGCCATTACCACATATAACCGCAAACTGGATCCGCCATACGGATTTGTGGGCCCAGTCCGGCGTCCATAAATCCATGTCAAAGACAAAAAATAGTAGTAGACGCAGTGCTGGTCAAGATTGCAGACAGTTCATCAGGCGACTCATGGAGTTCCATTATCAAAAACGACGATCCACCATTTAGATTCGGTCTAATTAAATTACCCGTGGCCGAGGACTTTGCTCCCACGAGTCGCCCACCTGAACATAAAATTATTCGATGATTTCGGTTGGTATAGAAAGTCAAGGTCGATTTGAGGAAGGGGTTCCTGAAACAAAAGATAGATAGACTATGACTATGACACTTTCAATAAGATTAAAGTTCTATTCCATGTGGAATAGAAAATATCTATTAAATATGAGAGCTATATAATGCAAATTATATGCTAGGTGGGAGATTACGATTATTATATTAAAGCTTATATTTGGCTTAGATTAAAATGGTATTATGATGAAATGATTGAGAATAAAAAATGATAAGAAACGAAACAATACCCTCTGATGATATAATATGGTTAGAGTAGAACTGGGTTATAATAGAGTCACGGGTTATTTTATATTTAGGATAGATTAAAACGGTATTATGGTGAAATGATAAAGAATTAAATGGGATAAGGACCGCCAATACAGTTTGACGATAATATAATACATATAAAAATAAAATAAATTAATCAACAATCTCGAGAGATAGGAAAAAGTAAAAATGAGTTACAGAAATATATAATAAATGTTGAGATAGGACTGTTGCTGTGTAAAACATACAACACCGTATAAATGCAAGGCCTTCTCGCTAAACTAATCGGAAAATCGCTCAAACACTTCCCAGAATTTAAATATTATTATTGGCGCCCGCGGAAACGAAATCATTTCAAGGAGGTAAACAAAAGTAGTCGATAAACCCGGTGAAGCGCATAATCAGTCTTATTTCATTTACTGTATCAGGCAATCGTATCTCCGATCCGAGAGGCCACTTGGCCGTGTCTATTGAGATCGAGTGGCGGCATTCGTTTGGATGACACTCACTTCAGATGGAGTGCGGAACCGATCGATAGGGAAACCGCAGGAGGGCACACTACTTATCCTCCGTAATTTCGCGAACCATTTGTTTATTGCGTGGGAACAGAATTAATACACGAGTCTGAGGACCCGTCCACTCCCCAAATCTTATCAGCCGAGTACAGATTTAACCGGCTAGTCAGTCAAGACCAGCTGGGCTGGTCCGTAGATTTACAAGCTCAGGAAATCACTCTAAACCAATTGTTCCAAAACTTTTCCACATCGAGAGAATCTCAGCAGCATTGGGGACCTATAAATTAAACGATAAGCTTGGCTGTTGGGAAAAACGTTCGAGTGTTCAATCAAATAAATGAATGAATCGCAGATTTCTTGCAAAACCGACCATACAAAAATAATACAGTAATAATAATTTGTAAGGCTACAATGACGATATGGGTACACCAAATATTTGAAAGGTTGATTTATTAGTTTTAATCATATTTTAATACGTCAGGTGTTTCCTAAAATTCTCCACATTTCAATTAATTCTCATCTCCTCCACTCTCGATGATTATGTAAAATATATAAAATTCGTTCCAGAACTTCGTGGATTTCTACATTTCTGAACAGTGATGTCATTCGAAGGCCGTCTGATCACAAATGGTTGCCTCCTTTTGGACTTTACGACCACTCATTCGACTAGGGTGGACCTTGATCAGAATGATTCATCTGAATGATTTTATTGAAATCAATTGAAGTTCCTTTGATTTGTATATAAGTAAAGAATTTAGGTAGGTCAGGTGATAGGTGATCATTTTTCTATACCTTGTATAACTTCTAAAATACAGTGAATGTTCACCTCTGCGACAAACACCTACGTGGGGCTATCAGAGATCGGATTCAATTCGAATCCACACACGATTCGGTCCGAAGCGATGCGATCAACATACATACATATGTATGTACATATATCCCTCAGAGCTAGAACGTCAATTGGCCGGCACTTGAAACTGTTTTCGACACATTATTTATAGATGTTCCAAGTGACGATGACACGGGTTGATAGTAACGGATAATTCCCAGCAGCGAACACTCCATAAACCGCTCAATATAAGAAGAGTGGTACGGACTTCGAACCCAAACAGCCGTAGTTCTCCCGACTTCCGCCTGGCGATATACCATCAATAAAGCTTACTACCGAAGACCAGGGAAAGTGGACTGATTCTAGGCTTAAGGGCCATAAATCCTAACGGAAACATGATTCACATCAATCCAATAATTTAAGGGCTCTCGACTCGTAACTTTCGATTCGGAATTCCCAAACCAAGACCAACCTGCTGCCTTATCACTAACTACGTATCGCTTTTGAGTTATATTTAAATTTTGGCAAATATGCATTGTGTACGCTTGGTTCGATTTAATCGACCACTATTTGTGGCCAGTTATCCGGCCATGTTAGCCGCTTATATAATTATTGAGTAATCTTTAAATTTATTGATATGGAGTAGAAGAATTAAGAATCATTTTTAGTTTGTTAGTATCCATTATAATAGTTTATTTCATTTACTGGAGCTTATGATATAAACATATCTTAAGGGAAACCATTAAAAAGGTCTAGTTAAAGAACTTTAACGTGACCGTTAAGGGTATATCCCAGGTATAAAGGGTATATACATATATTCTAACCATTTTATCGACTTTTTAATGAACTCAACTTACGCTTGAACTTGCGTTTGATCTTTGGACAGAAGGGTACGGGGCACTTCAGCTCCTGTCAGTGCTTGGCGTGGTAGCAACAGAGCGCGATCACCTGCTTCCAGAGGGAGCATCCTCCGCTGGTCGTGCGCTTGCAGTTCTTCGTGTGCCGGACGATGCGCTTCATCTTGTAGCACGAGGGCCGGTGGCAGCGTGGATAACGACATTGGCAGGCGTGCACCAGCGACTGGATGCAGCGTTTGAGGGATTTTTTGCGGATTTCCTGCGTTTTGGCCTGCTTGTGTTCCGCCGGAGCGGAGCCGTCGTCGATCTCAAAGCCAAGCTTCTCCATCTTGTGCGGATGCCCGACCTTTTCCCTGCACTCGTTGACATCACCACCTTGACCTCCTGTTTCGAGAGGTGGGCGCACTCCGCCAACAGTGCCGGCCATTGGCGGTGCTCCCATGCCCATTCCCATGCCGCCGTGCTGTCCGCCGACGGGCATTTGGCCGCCGCCCAGTTGTTTGGGTCCACCAAGTCCCTTCATCTGCTGCTGCTGCTGCTGCTGTTGCTGTTGTTGTTGTTGTTGCTGCTGCTGTTGCTGCGGATTTTGCGGACCGTTGCCCGCCTGCTGCTGCTGCAAAGCGCCGCCGCTGGGACCAGGTTCTTCTCCACCCTCCGCCGCATTAATCTGCGATTGATGACTCAGCTGGCGCTGCCTGATAATCGCCGCCTGTATTTGGGGATTCTGCTTCAGGATGTTGAGTATGTGCTCGTTACTGGGATTGGTGGGATTGTTCTTGATCTTCTGCACGATCTGTGCGAGTTGCTGGGTATTCAATCCGCTACCAGTTGCACCACCACCCTGTCCTCCTGTTTCGGGAGGTGGGCGCACTCCGCCAACAGTGCCTGCCATTGACGGTGCTCCCATGCCCATTCCCATGCCGCCGTGCTGTCCCCCAGCGACCACGGCCGGACCTGGCAGAGCAGCCGGAGCTGCTGTCCGGGACATGAGCGCCACACGGCGGCGCAGCAACTGCTGCTGTTCGAGTCTGGAAGAGTATGAGGGTACGATGTGGAAATTAATGCGAGTGCTTCAGAGGAAGGTCCAGGCCCTACTCGGGCGTAACTCTAAATCAATAATCAATCTGTCGCCTTTAATTCCATAAATTGATGGCAAACATATACAAACAGGCGCAAAGGAAATAAGAAAGGAAAGCTAACTTCGGGCGGAGCCAAAATTATTCATATGATGTATTCTTAATACTCATAAAAAATCCCAACTTCCTAACTTTAAAAACACTAAAGTTATGGCCTTTCCAATCGTTCAGTTATATGGCAGCTATAGGATATAGTCGGCCGATCCTTATGAAATTTGGTAGGTCGGATTGATTGGCCAAATATAAGACCCATAGGAAATCCTAGCTTCCTAACTTTACAAACACCAAAGTTATGGCATTTCCGATCAATCAGTTATATGGCAGCTATAGGATATAGTCGGCCGATCCCGGCCGATCCCGGCCGTTCCGACATATATACTGCGTGAAAAGGAAAGAAGGGTGTGTGCAAAGTTTCAATTCGATATCTTTAAAACTGAGAGACTAGTTTGCGTAGAAACAGACAGACGGACAAACAGACGGACAGACGGACAGACGGACATGGCTATATCAACTCAGGAGGTGATCCTGATCAAGAATATATAAACTTTATAGGGTCGGAGATGTCTCCTTCACTGCGTTGCACACTTTTGACTAAATTTATAATACCCTCTGCAAGGGTATAATGAACTCACTTTTGCTGGAGCTGCTGCTGCTTGAGCTTGTGCTTGATGTTGGGACAGAAGGGCACGGGGCACTTCAGCTCCTGACAGTGCTTGGCGTGGTAGCAACAGAGCGCGATCAACTGCTTGCAGATGGGGCATCCTCCGTCGGTCTTGCGCCTGCAGTTCTTCGTGTGCTGGACGACGCGCTTCATCTTGTGGCACGAGGGCCGGCGGCAGTTGGCATCGCGACATTGGCAGGCGTGCACCAGCGACTGGATGCAGCGCTGGATGGACTGTTTGCGGGCCTCCTCCGGATCGGCCTGCTTGTGGTCCGTCGGCGCGGAGCCATCGTCGATGTCAAAGCCAAGCTTCTCCATCTTGTGCGGATGTCCGACCTTTTCCTTGCACACGATGCACAGATCAAGTCCTGTGAAGTAAATTAAGACGGGGAATGATTAGTAATGCTTGTAGTTCCTTTGTTAATAGTTTGAAATTCCAATTAGTTTGTGCTTGAGGCTGGGACAAAAGGGCTCTTTAGATGGTTATGACTCTGCAAAAGTATTGTCACAACAACTGAACTCGTTAGATACTTGAATTGCTTAAAGTTTTTGCAAAATATTTCATTTAATCTATGAATGATGATTACTCTGCCAAAGTACTAAGCTGTCACACAATAACTAAACGCATTCCATACTTGAAACCTCCGGATGTACTGTATGACCAACCGATCGGGCGGAGCGCAGACGACTGAGCGAGGGATCTTAAGAATTTCATCACAATTGCTCTTTGTTCTCTTCATATACATATATATATATGCTTATCGATCTTTGGGCAATGTGGTGTTTTGGAGTTTTTAATTCTGGGATACCCAAAATTAGTCACCCACGAAAAAAGGCAACCAATATGGTCTTTCGCTTTGATTTCATAATTATACCCTTGCAGAGGGTATTCAAATTTCAGTCAAAGTTTACTGCTGCTGCTGCTGCTCACGTTTGTATTACTTTAAATGGATATGACTCTGCCAAAGTATTCTCACAACAACTGAACTCTTTAGATCCTTCAATTGCTTAAAGTTATTACAAAATAATTCGTATAATCTATGGATGATGATTACTCTGCGAAAGTATTAAACTTCATACAATAAATAAGGCATTCAATACATGCAGTGTATTTAAACCTTCAGATGGACTGTATGACTGACTAATCGTGCGGAGCGCAGATGACTGAGCTTACAAATTTCATCATACTTGCTCTCTTATCTCTTTAAAAATATTTAAAGCGATAAGCCTGCTTTTTTTTGAGTTTTCAAACACAATGTGCTTTTCAAATCCGCAATTGTCAAGAAAACTAATTTGCCTTCTTCTGACCCTTCTTCTTGCCTTCGCCGCTGACCTCGTTCTCCTCGATGGAGAAAAGCTGCAAGAGTTAAGATCATTAATACTCCGGTTATACTATTTTCTGTATGAGTAACCAAAACTAGCGTGAAATTTCAATAATTTGAAGGAACACACTCAAACAAAAATTGAACTTAATAATAGGCAAATAAATGTCGGTGAGCACTTACATTAGCTTGTGCTTCTCCTCCTCCTCCTGGTCCATCTCCTGGAGCTCTCCTCCAGTCCAGAGGGCCAGAAGTCGGCCTCGAAGGAGGGCAGCTCGGCGGCGGAGCCAGCTTATCCTCCATCACTAGCAGCTTATATATTTATTAAGTAATCTTCAAATTTATTGGAATGGACAAGACAAATTAAGAATCATTTTCAGTTTTATTATAATAGTTTATTTCATTTATTGGAGCTTATGAAATAAACATTTCTTATGAGAAACCATTAAAAAGGTCTAGTTAAGGAACTTTAACGTGAGCGTAAAGGGTATAACCCAGGTATAAAGGGTATTTCCATATATGTATTTCTGACCATTTTATCAAATTTTTAATGAACTGAACTTCTTCTGGAGTTGCTGCTGCTTGAGCTTGTGCTTGATGTTGGGGCAGAAGGGCACGGTGCACTTCACCTCCTGACAGTGCTTGGCGTGGTAGCAACATAGCGCGACTAACTGCTTGCAGATGGGGCATCCTCCGTTGGTCTTGCGCCAGCAGTTCTTCGTGTGCTGGACGACGCGCTTCATCTTGTGGCACGAGGGCCGGCGGCAGTGACAATCGCGACATTGACAGGCGTGCACCAGCGTCTGGATGCAGCGCTTTATGGACTGATTGCGGATCTCCTGCGGATTGGCCTGCTTGTGTTCCGCCGGAGCGATGTCAAAGCCAAGCTTCTCCATCTTGTGCGGATGTCCGACCTTTTCCCTGCAATCGTTCACAGATCAAGTCCTGTGAAGTAAATTAAGGCGGGGAATGATTAGTAATGCTTGTAGTTCCTTTGTTAATAGTTTGAAATTCCAATAGGTTTGTGCTTGAGGCTGGGACAAAAGGGCTCTTTAGATGGTTATGACTCTGCAAAAGTATTGTCACAACAACTGAACTCGTTAGATACTTAAATTGCTTAAAGTTTTTGCAAAATATTTCATTTAATCTATGAATGATGATTACTCTGCCAAAGTACTTGCAGTGTCTTAAAACTTTTCGATGTACTGTATGACCAACCGATCGGGCGGAGCGCAGACGACTGAGCGAGGGAGCTTAAAAATTTCATCACAATTGCTATTCGATCTCTTTATATATACATATATGTATATTATATGCTTATCGCTCTTACCCCAGAATGAATTCTAAACCGAAAAAAGCCCAACAATATGGTCTTTCGCTTTGTTTTCATATGGTTCGCTCTTTCCCCGAATGTGAAGTAAAGGAGTCATTTCCGACCCTATAAAGTATATATATTCAATTTTTGTACACTTCCAAGCAAAGTATTTTTATTGATTCCTTTCTTGTTTTAATTACAATTTATTTTACACTTCCAAGCAAAGTATTTAGTTGACTACAGTATTGTTGGTTTTTTATTTTGTTGATTTTGTTTGCTTTGTTTTGCTTGGTTTGCTGCGTCACCTATTGCTGATGCTGCTGCTGATGTTTGCTGCTGCTGCTGCTCCTCCTCCTGCTGCTGCGGATGTTGTGGACCGTTGCCCGCCTGCTGCTGCTGCAAAGCGCCGCCGCTGGGACCAGGTTCTTCTCCACCCTCCGCCGCATTAATCTGCGATTGATGACTCAGCTGGCGCTGACTGATAATCGCCGCCTGTATTTGGGGATTCTGCTTCAGGATGTTGAGTATGTGCTCGTTACTGGGATTGGTGGGATTGTTCTTGATCTTCTGCATGATCTGTGCGAGTTGCTGGCTATTCAGTCCGCCAGTTGCACCACCACCTCCACCTTCTGCTCCGGGAGGGGGGCCCTCTCCGCCAACAGTTCCGGCCATTGGCGGTGCTCCCATGCCCATTCCCATGCCCCCGTGCTGTCCGCCGACGGACACTTGGCCTCCGCCCAGTTGTTTGGGTCCACCAAGTCCCATCATCGGCTGCTGCTGCTGTTGCTGTTGCTGTTGCTGCTGCTGCTCCTGATGCTGCTGCTCTTTCTGCTTCTGCTTCTGGTGATCCTGCGGCTGCTGCTCCTGCTTACGTTTGCCAAGGCTACCGCCATGCGACTCCGGCTGTCGAGCTGCCTCTTCATGGCCACGCTTCCCCATCTTGTGGGGATGTCCGACCTTTTCCTTGCACACGATGCACAGATCAAAGTCCTATAAAGTAAATAACGACAAGGAATGATTAACATTGCTTTGTTAAGATATTCAAAATCCTATAAGTGTATTACTTTAGATGGTTACTCTAAGTATTCTGACTACAACTGAACTCGTTAGATACTTGAATTGCTTAAATTTATTACAAAATATTTCGAAGGATCTATGGATACGATAACCAAGGCATTCAACACTTTTAGTGTATTTAAACCTTCAGATGGACTTTATGACTTACCGATCGGGCGGAGCGCAGTCGACTGAGCGAGGGAGCTTAGGAATCTCATCACACTTTGCTTATATATATCGCCGTTTTTTAGCAATGTGTTTTTTTTTGAGTATTCAAAAATTCGCCTTCTTCGGGCCATCGCCGATGACCTCCATTCTCCATTCTCCTCGATAGAGAAAAGCTGAAAGAGTAACCAAAACTAGCGTGTAATTTGAATAATTTGAAGATGCACACGCAAACAGAAATTGAACTTAATAATAGGCAAATAATTGTCGGTGACCACTTACATTAGCTGCGATTCTCCCCCTCCTCCTGGTCCATCTCCTGGAGCTCTCCTCCAGTCCAGAGGGCCAGAAGTCGCCCTCGAAGGAGGGCAGCTCGGCGGCGGAGCCCAGCTTATCCTCCATGACTAGCAGCTTATATATTTATAAGTAATCTTCAAATTTATTGGAATGGACTAGAAAAATTAAGAATCATTTTCAGTCCAATAGAATTGCTTTTCAGATATTTTCAGAAACCATATTTAAACGTATTTAAAAACAACACGATGATGTTCGGGATTATTTCCTAACATCAAAGTTATATTTTATAGAAATTTATAACGATTTCCAATTAGTTAAAATAAAAATCTAGAATTCTAGAATCTCTTCCATTTCCCCCCGAAGAAAAGCAACCAATGTGGTCATTCATTTTAATTTCATAATTTTTATTTAAATTTATTTTACACTTTCAAGCAAAGTATTTAGTTAATTACAGTGTTGTTGGTTTTTTATTTTGTTGTTTTTGTTTGCTTTGTTTTGTTTCGCTTGGTTTGCTGTGATTTTGGATCCATACGACAAAAAAAAGAAGGGAAATAAAGTAGGAGATAGAGATTGGTAGAAACAATAATAATATTAATAATTATAATCATCGTAATAATAGTAAAAAAAATATTTATATATTTATGTTTATTCATACACTCATGCAATGGATGTGTATGCGTGTTTGTGTTTGTTGGGGGGAGTATGTGTTTGTGGGGGCGTTTTGGGGTCATTAAATTAATGAAATCTGATAGAAAAGTCAAAGTCATCTTATCAGCTTAACTGTCGCACTATTTTACAAGTAGGTATTATGTCATAACGGTTTATCTTTATCATTTATCATTATTATTTATCGTTATCGTAATCATTAGCATAAACATTATCGTACTCATTATTAATATTAGTTATTAGTATCAATCGTTTTCTTCCATTTTTGTTTTTTCATTTCTCTCTTGTTTTTGTTGTTGCGGTTGTTGTTATAGAACTAGTTTTTACTAAGGCTTGGTTTACTTTACACTTGACTTATCTATCCCTCGCATCCTTTTGTGTTTTTGTTTTTCCCCTTTTCTCGAGTTCTTTTTTTGTGGGTTTTTCTGGGTTTTTGTTATAAGAAATTACATTTTGTATGCATAATAATAAACGCGTTTAGCAAAGTGCTTCGACTCTGGTTAACGTTTCTCGTTTTTTTGTTTTGTTTCTTTTCCGCTGCTATTGCATTTAGAATAAATGTTCATTTATAATTTACATGTGTTGGCTTAACTATGTATATAATATATATATATATTTATATATATATATGTATATCTACCGCTCTCGTGTGATCGATCATATCTATATATAAATGTGTATATAGCGCTGGATTTAGACTAAGGCTTAGACTCTAGGTATCATCCGGTTAATGCGTTTTGTGTTGCTTCTATGTTCTCTGGTTTTCTGGCTTCCGGCCTTACTTCCGCCTCCCCCATCATCTAATTCTTCTTAATCTTTTTCATCATATATAATTGTAATCACAAATAGTTTTGGAATATGCTCTCTCTTTCGCTCTTTCCGCCGCTCTCCTCTTACACAAAACGGTTAAAAAACGATAATTGATGTGTCTTTGCCACTCGCACTCGCACTCTCACTTTCACTCAGCCACTCGTTCTCTCTCGCTCTCTTTCACACCCATAACTTTGTTCATTGCTGCTGACTGTGTGGTAAAAAAAACAAAAACAAATATGCGCAGAAAAAAGACGGCAAGCAGCTCTTTCTCTCTCTGTCTCCCTCATCTTCCTTTTTTTTCTTTTTTTTGGTTACTATCGTGGGTTTTATTAATAATTAAATTCTGCGCCCGCTAATCCGAAAACTTTTTTTTGCACCAGCACGCGGCGTCTGCGTTTTGAAGGCAGCGTCTTGTTATCGCAACTATTACCGATCAACGATTGTCGATAATCAATTACCGATCATTGTTCCATACGTTAAAAGTACAAAGGCATTCGGCGGCAGAGCCCAGTGACTTGAGTATGTTTTCGTTTATAATAATAATATTTACTTTAACTTGCTTTATTTTTAGTTTTTGTTTTTTGGTGTCTGTTTTTTGATTGTGTGCAGCGCAGCGTGGGCATTGAACTCTCCTCGTCCTTATTTTGATCGGTTTTATCGGTGGCAGGCGCAGCTTTTTTTTTTGTTGGTTTTCCAATTTTTTTGTTGTCTTTCGCTTAGCTAAGGAAACTATGCGCGTTTCGTTTAAAAACACACTAACTAAAAGTATATATCCCGATATATAATATATATATTTATGCCATATGTGTGTGTGTGTGGCGATGTAGATCTAAATATAAACGATATAACCGATTTTTTCGATATATGTATGCGCGGCTTACAAACTAGGGCATTGGATTTTACAAACTGTCGCGTACGTGTGACCTACTACACCTATCAGTAATCGGTAATCAGTAATCGTTTATCAGTAATCGGTAAATATATATTGTGTGTACTTGTATTTGTATTCGTATGTGTGTGTGTTGGGTATTTACATTAATGTTAGTTACTTGCTGATGTCGCAATTGAAGGCATTTTTATGCGCAGTGAATAAGTATCCTAGTATCTAAAATTTACAAAATCCCCTTTTACTCTGGTTTACTGTCTCGCTCTCTCGCCTTCTCCCGTCTCTATCTGATTCTTGGGCGGCGGCAGTTGGTAGAAAGAAAACAGTTAGAAAACGAAAACAATACCTCCCACAATACCACCTAAGATACACAAAAAAAAATTAAAGTTAGACATGATACATCCGATTAATGAAAGAACCCAGTTTGGAATCTACAGATTAAGTCTAATAAATAGTGATAAACCTAAATCGCATTTTAGCCTAAAAGTCTATAGCCTAGATGTTTTTTTGTTTTAGCGTTAATAAATAGCAATCGATCCTGCGTCCCCCGTATAAAATCCTTCCTGCTTTTTGAGACAAATGGGGTTGGCGCTCCCTATCCTTTTTTTTTTTTGGCTATCACAAAATCAAATACTAAGTATAACGTTAAGTTATGTACAAAAATGTCAAAATTAAATGGATGTAAATCGAGGAATTAGGAACGCGCACACACACACTCGCACGTACGCACGCACACACACACACACATGGGGTGGTGGTCCTTAAACTAAATCCTTAATCAATATAAACAATCAATCGTGAACAATTTGTTAGAAGTTACGACACTAATTTGTTGTCCTACGTATGCATATATGTTGTAAATGTTAGTTCCTTAAATAGTTCAAGTACCCTAAATCTGTTTTCAAAGCATTTTGGCTATTGCTATTTTGTTGCTTTTGTTAATCATACTCCTTTCGTATCGCTCCCCCGGTCATCCTACTCCTGTGCTTATCTGTTTGGTGTTTTGTTTGCTACTGTCCTGATTCCTGATTCTCCTAATAATTGCATTTTCTAGTCGTCCTCGTACTCTACTCCTCATCCTCGATAATTTATTGTTGTCTTGTCATTGGAAGTGATACTTGGGCTCAGATCGGGTGAATAGGGGCTAAGGATGAGGATGAGGATGAGGAATCCGATTCCGATTCCAATTTCGAGTTCGATTCGATTCAGATTCCTATTCCGTTCGATTTGTGTATAAAAATATGTATTTACTCTATGCGTGTTCCCAATTTGAAGCTCCTATAAGGAGCACTTAATCAACTGCCGATCGCCAACAGGCACATGTTCACTATAGGCTATATATTTCTTGTGCGGATGCGGATGGTCGGGTGAATTGTGTCTTCGCGTCGTCTTCGTCGTCGTCGTCGTCGTTATCGTCGTCTGTCCACTGGCTTACAACACTACAAGGGTACAAAAAACTTAATTCAACTTTACAACATGCTCTCTCTATCTCTTTCTCTCTTTACAAACTTTAAACTGATTGCGAGTCGTTTGTTTTTTAGTGGCGGAGTCGCAAAATAAATAATGTTACGTTATAACACATTCCGACATTCGCTGCTGCTTAAAAGTTAAGTCACTAAGGAAAGGTATTTAGCTTACGCTCAACGTTTTAAACGCTGTTACATCGAGGTGTCTGACCCTCCTCATCCTTCGCTTAATCCTGATCCTGCTTTTCTATGATTTGTATGCTTTACTATTTTCTGTCTAGTTGGAACGAAGGAATTGCATTCATTAATACATGGTGTGTGTGTTATTAGGGCATATGAAATATATGATATATATATTTGCTGTATCGCGGACTTAAAAATGGAAATCGAATCAAGATGCGTTGTTCAAATTTTGTCCTAGACTTAAAATAAAGGATTTATAGCAGTGGTAGTGGGGGGATGTCTTAAACTACATTACAAATTAGGTGTGATAGTTGTTGGTTTAATTATGATAACGCTATACATTTGGGGTGCAATGTTAAAAAAAAAAAAGGAAATAGTAGTTAGTCATAGTCGTGAAAGTTTAACACACACTGGTGATCCCTGCTGGCTGATGATGATCGTGGTCTGTGGTCTGGCTTGTCGTTAGTGGACTTTCAGTCTAGCCTTTGGCCACGGCTACCACCCGTTGTAGCTGCTGCTGCTGCTGTTGCTGCACTAGAGTCTCTCCACAAACTTGGTCAGCTGGTCGGAGGCGTCGGGCAGGGCTCCTCCGGCGTTGCCCACGCCCACATTGCCGACGTTGACGCCGACACCAACGCCGACGCCCACGCCCACATCCTGCGGCACTCCTGGCAGCGGCGACTGATGATGCATCCCATGATTGTGCATCCCGTCATGCGGTGGTCCCTGCGGCGCCGGCGAATGGCTGCTCATCACATGATGCGGCGAGGGCTGGGCCCTTGGCGAGGCGGAGGGAGCAGCACGTGGCGATGGCGCCGAACGGGGCGATGGCGTTGGCTGTGGCGAGCGGATGGGCGGAGAGGAGCGGGCCGATTGCATCAGCTGCTGCTGCAGAGAATGCGGCGTTGGGGGACCCATCACTTGTGAATTGGGTCCGCCAACCACCGCCGACGGATTCTGGGCATTCGCATTCGGCATGGCCACCTGCATCATCTGCTGCTGCTGCAGCGGCTGTTGCTGCTGCTGCTGTTGCTGCATCCCCGGCGGCATGCCCACGCCCATCTGCTGTTGCTGTTGTCCGGGTCCGGGCTTCACGCCCACTCCCACTCCAACACCTACTCCAACGCCCACCTGGCCCTGCTGCTGCTGCAGCATGTTCGAGGCAGCCGCTGCATTGGCCATCGAGTACTGATCGCCACCGGGCACGGCACCTGCCCCTCCGGGCACTCCGCCCACTCCCACCACGCCTCCTGCGCCGCCAGCACCGCCCGCATTGAAGTTGCCCAGTCCGCCTCCGCCGCCAGGGAATTGTTGCTGGCCGGGACCGGGTCCCGCTCCGCCCATGTGCGGACCACGCTGGCGTTGCGGATACGGTGGAGGGTACTGGTTCATCTGCATGTAACGCATCTTGTTCCAGTTCTGGTTAGACACCTGTGTCGGGGGTTGGAATGTTTACTAAGTATAAGAGCCGAAATTTGGTGGGTAATTTTGTTGTTAGAGGTTGGTGACGCAAAATCAAATTGAAATTTACTATTATAAAAAGAATGGATTTTTACTTATCATGACAAAATTCGTAAATAAACTCTAAAGAAAAATTGTATCTTTAGGCTTCTTTACTAAATACATCTGCTGGTTTAAATAAATCTTTTGGAAGAGGAATTTACAAGAATAAATTTAAAAATTGTTTCTTTCTCTAATGTCTTTGTTAGCCATTCAATATTTTTTAAATCGTTTTTTTCAGTACTGATATGCAAATGCTAATAATGTAAAAAAGGTAATATATTCATTTTAGAAACAAGCGCAAGACTAAATTATAACTCTAGAGCTCTGACTAATGTAGGGGATCCATTCATATTTCCATTCAGATAATGATTATGAACTGTAGGACCAACATCTGGTTCAAAAGCCAAGTTGGTGGCTATAAGAAATTGACTGCTGAGTTTTGATGGGACTGTGGTTCTTAGGAGACGGCTTATTTTAGTCACTTACCATTCCTCCCTGCGTGGAGACGCCGGGCGACATGTTGGGCGGAAGGCTCTGCAGCATCATGGCTGCGTTCTGCATGTTGGGCATACGCTGATGGGGTCCAGTGCCTGGTCCTCCGGGTCCGCCCTGCTGCTGCTGCTGTTGCTGCATCAGATTTACCTGCTGCTGCTGGTTCGGATTCATCTGCTGCGGCCCACCGCCGCCCTGCTGCTGTTGCTGGTTCATCATGTGCTGCATCTGCTGCTGCTGCATCACCTGTTGCTGCTGCTGCTGCTGTTGTTGTTGTTGTTGTTGTTGCTGCTGCTGTTGCTGCGGATTTTGCGGACCATTGCCCGCCTGCTGCTGCTGCAAAGCTCCGCCACCGGGACCAGGTGCTCCTCCACCCGCCGCCGCATTAATCTGCGACTGATGACTCTGCTGGCGCTGCTTGATGATCGCCGCCATTATTTGGGGATTCTGCTTCAGGATGGTGAGGATGTGCTGGTTGCTCTCGTTGGTGGGATTGTTCTTGATCTTCTGCATGATCTGGGCGAGTTGCTGGGTATTCAGTCCGCCGCCAGTTGCACCACCACCTTGACCTCCTGCTCCGGGAGGTGGACGCACTCCGCCAACAGTGCCGGCCATTGGCGGTGCTCCCATGCCCATTCCCATGCCGCCGTGCTGTCCGCCGACGGGCATTTGGCCTCCGCCCAGTTGGTTGGGTCCACCGAGTCCCATCATCTGCTGCTGCTGTTGCTGCTGCTGCTGGATCAGATTCGGCTGCATCAGCTGGCTGGGCTGGCGCATCCCGGTGGCATTGTTGGTATAGCGGGGATTACCTCCGCCAGGATTGGCTCCTCCGCCGCCGGCTCCGCCACCGCCCCACTGATCCATGGGCAGCAGGTGGTTGGCGTTTAGCACATTCAGTGAGCAGTTTCCAGAGCCGGGAACTGGGCCACCAGCGGGGTTGCCACCACCGCCCGAACCCAGCGAGCCTACGCCCACGCCACCAACGCCTCCGACACCAACGCCGCCACCGACACCTCCGACTCCGACGCCCATGCCTCCCAGCTGATTGACAACATTCGGATTGGGCCCTGCGCCTCCCATCTGCCGGTTCATCGGGGGCGGCGCCATGGGTCCACCTTTGCCGAAGCTACCGCCATGTGACACCTGCTGGCGAGCTGCCTCTTCCTGGACCTGCTTCACCACCTGCAGGACACTGGGCGACGGCGAATGACCGCCACCTGGCTTCATGCCTATGCCTGGTTGATGCGGATGCGGTGAGGTCATTCCGCCCATGCCGCCGGCTCCTGTTGCTCCCGAAACGGGCGATGGCACCGCCACAGTGGATGGCGACATACCACCCGCTCCTGGTGGCATAATTCCCGCCTGACCGGGCATCACCTGCTGGCTAACCGCCACGCCGGACATTCCCACCACGGGCACTCCGCCAGCGACCACGGCCGGACCGCTGACTGCTGCAGGGCCTGGCAAAGCAGCCGGAGCTGCTGTCCGGGACATGAGCGCCACACGGCGGCGCAGCAACTGCTGCTGTTGGAGTCTGGAAGAGTAAGAGGGTACGATGTGGAAATTAAAGCGAGTGTTTCAGAGGAAGGTCCAGGCCCTACTCGGGCGTAACTCTAAATCATAAATCAATCTGTCGCCTTTAATTCAATAAATTGATGGCAAACATATACAAAAAGGCGCAAAACAATATAAAATCAATTAAAATGAACTCACTTTTGCTGGAGCTGCTGCTGCTTGAGCTTGTGCTTGATGTTGGGACAGAAGGGCACGGGGCACTTCAGCTCCTGACAGTGCTTGGCGTGGTAGCAACAGAGCGCGATCAACTGCTTGCAGATGGGGCATCCTCCGTTGGTCTTGCGCTTGCAGTTCTTCGTGTGCTGGACGACGCGCTTCATCTTCTGGCACGAGGGCAGGCGGCAGTTGGCATCGCGACATTGGCAGGCGTGCACCAGCGACTGGATGCAGCGCTGGATGGACTGTTTGCGGGCCTCCTGCGGATTGGCCTGCTTGTGGTCCGTCGGCGCGGAGCCATCGTCGATGTCAAAGCCAAGCTTCTCCATCTTGTGCGGATGTCCGACCTTTTCCTTGCACACGATGCACAAATCAAAGTCCTGTGAAGTAAATAACGACAAGGAATGATTAGTTTTGCTGGTAGTTACTTTGTTAATATTTTACTTCCGTTGAGTGTGACTCTGCCAAAGTATTCAACTAATCTCGTTAAATACTTGAATTGCTTAAAGTTTTTACAAAGCATTTTATTTATTCTATGGATGATTATTACTCTGCCAAAGTAAAAACTTTCACACAATAACTAAACGCACTCCATACTTGTGTCTTTAAACCTCCGGATATGACTAACCAATCGGGCGGAGCGCAGTTGACTGAGGGAGGGAGCTTAAGAATTTCATCACACTTGCTCTTTGATCTTTATATATATATATATATATATATTATATATATGTATATATATGTACGCTTATCGCTCTTTTGAGCAATGCGGTGTTTTTTTGAGTTTTCAAATATAACATGCTTTTCAAATCTGCAAAGTTCAAGGCAAATAATACTCACATCACAGACGGTGCAGTGGTAGCGCGTCTCCACCGCCGTCTTGCAGTTGTTGCAGGTGTAAACGAACTTATCCTGGCCCTGGTTATGCAGCTCATACAACATGGACAGCGTGGAGAACTGGGCGCGTCGCAGGGACGAAAACTCGAAGTGCTTGTCGCGGGCGAGAGTGAGGAAGGCATCGCGTCCGTCCATTAGATCGCAGGTTAGCAGCGGATCGGGATCCTGGATGGGCTGTAAATCGCAAAGAAAATAAACAAGTTCCAATTAGTTATATCCAGAAAGATGGACCAGAAAACGAGCACACGTACCGCTAAGCTCGCTGCCGACTGCGCCGAATGCAGACGGATGACGAAGAAGACCTCCTTGTGCTTCTCCATCGTCGCATATATCTTGGCGGAGAGATCATTGCCCGACTGGTGTTCATTGGACTTTTTGCTGTTTTTACGTTGCGCCGCCTTCGATTTGTTCGACTTCTTGGCCTTCTTCTGGCCCTTCTTCTTGCCATCGCCGCTGACCTCGTTCTCCTCGATGGAGAAAAGCTGCAAGAGTTAATAAGATCATTAATACTCTGGTTATACTATTTTCTGTATGAGTAACCAAAACTAGCGTGTAATTCCAATAATAGAAATTGAATTTAATAATAGGCATATAACCACTTACATTAGCTGCAGCTGCGGCTTCGGCGGCCTCGGCCTGCTTGCGCTTCTCCTCCTCCTCCTGGTCCAGCTCCTTGATGCTCTCCTCCAGCACATTAGGCCAGAAGTCGCCCTCGAAGTAGGGCAGTTCGGCGGCGGAGCCCAGCTTGTCCTCCATCGCCTGCTTCAGAATGTCCTTGTAGTCCTGTATGATGCGCTCGATCATGCCCTTGTCGAGCATCTTCTTGTACCACTCCTGCAGGCGCTTGGGCTTGGGGATCTTTTGGTCCGTGGGATGGCAGTGGAAGATGTAGTCGTCGCCCTCTGAGGGCGGACAGGCCCAGATGTGGGCCATTGTGTAGCCCAGCTGCTTGACGTAGTCCATGTAGCCGAGCAGGATTTCGTGATATACCGCCGTGCGGTATTGTCTTGGCCGGAAGAAATGAACGGAATCCAGATAGGCAATGTAGACACGCCGCGTATTTGGCGCCGGGCACTCGGATCCGTACTCCTGGACGTGCATGCCAAAGAAGCAGACATCGATGCCGTCCACCTCCTCGAAGGCGAATAGTGCTTTGGCGCGGTACGGAAACTCGTTCATCATCTCGCCCTGTTCGACGAAACGACGCCGCATCCCGGGCTTCACCTCCACGCACTTGTCCGACGAGCTGACCACACGGATGTGCACCTCGCCGGCGCCCGCCTCCTTCTTCTTGAGGAAATTGTTCACCCGCGTCTCTATGTACACGCCCAGTTTGGTGGTGGGCAGGCGCTTCGCATTGAACTTGTTCTCCTTCCGCTTCGAGTTCTTCTTCTTCAGGCAGTTGTCGCACACGAAGCCGCCGGGCCAAATCGAATCCAGCCAGAGCACACAGATCTGGTGCTGCTTGCGTCCGCACTCCTGGCAATCGACAAACGGCTCCAGCTCCAGATGATCGTTCTTCATCTCCTTGAACTGGTCCTTTTTGATTTGGCTGGATAAAGGGGAACACATGATGGGTTTGCATGATTTGGAGGCGGTTCTTTGAAAGTTAAGAAAATTTGATAGTCTCAACTTAAAGGAAGTCTTTTGTTTTTAAGATTTACACACATTTTTAATACAAACAAAAGCTTTTTGAATGGTTTTTAACATATGACTAAATTTACCAGTTTATAATACAAAAGTTTTAACATTTAAATATCTTACTACATTTTACTTGGTAATAATATATTATTTTTGGGTTTGGTACCGTTTCGTGACCCATTAAAGGAGTTGTCTGCTCAGTGATGCTTAAACTGATCTCCTACTTTTCAAATGATATGATAACGTACGATTACTTCATGACTAATGGACTGATCACCCCGAAAATGTTCTAGAAAACAAAACCCATCCCTTTTTGAAGTTAAAAACCATTCTTAAACAAAAAGTTGAATTTGTAGGATCATATACTTACGTTTGCGACTGCAGTGGATCATCGCCCAGTGTGACCGTATCGCCCTGGATGTCGTTAAAGCACTTTTGGCAGTAGGTGTATCTATTTGAGGCGACACCGTATTCCTTTAGACTGTTGTGTTTTGTTTGGTGGTTTTTTGGTTGTTCGTTTTCAATGCGTTTGTTTTTATTTTGTTTGGTTTGATTTGATTTTAGTTGATTGATGGACGAAATTTGAAGATGGCAGCCAAAAAGGGAACATAACAACACAGGCGTGTGTACAGACAGGTGTATGGGTGTACAGGTGTTCGGATGTACAGGTGTGCGTGCAAGCGAGATGGTTATATGCATTTGGTCAGTTGCAAGTGTGTGAGTGTGGTTTATGTTTTGTTTTTCGATTTTTGTTTTTTTTTCAATTTTCACACACACACATTGAGAGAGAGATGGTACACACACAGATACAAAGTTCGATTAAGACACGCAATAATACAGATATGCGGCGACACATATTAACGATTATTATTATTATTATTTTGGTTTTTTGTTGTAGTTGTTGCGGGAGAGAAAAAAACAAAATAAACACAAAAAGAAAAAAAAGGGAAGAGAAACAAAAAGAGTGATTTGATTTGCATTAGAATTTTTGTCACATTAATACAACAATTAAGGGGGTTATCATAATATTATTAAATATCCCAGGAGTATTACAGTAATATGTTTATAGACACACTTAGATATATCTAAGGTTTTATCAAAGATTTACCAAATTCTATTTTATTTTATAAAAATAGATTAGATATCTAAATAGGTCTGGTATGCATATAATATAGTGGCGCTTAAATATCCCCGGAATAATAGTTGCTTTTGTATTGGATTTAACGATTCTTGCAGATATACATATGTATAGCCTGGGATACTTAACTGCTCAAATTACTCAAGATCTGTAACCTTCAATGTATTCCAATTTCAATTGCAGATAATGTTTCATTTGCTTACAAGGATTTCATTTCCCTGATTGTGATTAGAATTTTGTTTGCTCGGTTCTGACTACCCGAAAAATGTGGAATGTTAAACCTAAACACGACTTGGACCTGGGATTGGATTGTGTTGGATTGAATCCAAATAGTTAATGGCCATGATGGATCAGGGGATGCATCAAGCAGCAGCAGCAAAAGCGGCGACATTAAAGGATATTCAAGGAGCACTAAGGAAGTGTGTGTGCGTGTGTCTTTGTTGTTCGTTTGGTATATATTTTACTTTTTTATTTTCATTGTGCAATGTGCAACATTAATGATATTATGTACACAGCAATATAAGGGATAAAACACACACACATAAAACACAGAAGAGGGGCGGGAAAGGAGCAAAAGGATCAAGGATCAAAGCCATTAAATTAGTGCACAAAACGGACATTCAATATGCTAAATATGCTGAAAGCAGCCATCGAACATTGATATGGAATCGGTAATAGGAGGAGCAAGCGGTTTATAACTAAATCACAAGACCTGTTCTGGCTTTATAATTTTTCAGTACTCAAATATAGCCTAAATATTAATTATATGATTGAATATTTTCAAATTTTGTCTAAAAAACTGCTTTCAAACATATATTTGAAAACCGAAACAGGCCTCTGCATCACAAACATTTTTATTGACTCGCTGAATTGGAACATTCGTAAACGAGCAAAGCGGTTGGTTTGTCTAAATTATATTTCACATCAAACAGAGAAACATAAACGGAACGGAGCCAAGCAAAAATCCTCGACTGGCGAGATATAGTCTGTGGGCAGGACGGGGGGATCTGATGCAAGAGCAGATCAGTACATACCTGTTCTGGTAGCTGTAGTACTTCGCATCCCGCGGAATCGTGCAGAGCTGCTTACCGTAACAGCAGAGCACCTGTGGGTTGAATGAGTACTTCCTGCCGCAACAATAGCCTAAGGCCTGCATCACCGGATCAATCTCCGCCTCAAAAACTTCGGAAAGCTAAAGGGAAAAGAGCGGGGGAAAGCATTAACTTCCATTATTTGGCGATCAACGCAAATTTCAGTCAACCAACCTTTGTGCAATAGCGGTAGACCCGCGACGTCTTGCGGTTATACAGCCAGGCATTTTCTAACATCAGCCACACATCGTCCACGTACTCCCAGGGATCACTGTACTTCCCGTTCTGGATGTTGGTGCGTATGGTGCCCAGGTCCATGGGCTTCTTCACGATCTCAAAGTAATCGGGAATGCCCAGCGCCTGGGGATCGACGGGATAGCGAAAGGGCACGGATTCGGGCTCCTGCCGGAAAAGCTTTTCCAGCGTTGGCAGTAAAGCGGTGCGCAGCTCTTCGGGATTGAACTCTGTACGGAGGAAATGACGAGAAAAATGTCTGAGTATATCTTTTCGTTTTCCCCACAAAAACCCTTAATTCCCTCTAGCAATAATGACATTCACTTACGGCATTTCTTCTTTTTATCACCCGCATTGGGGGCCAGTGGTTCCGGTACGAGTGGTTTCGTATCCGTCTTGGGTTTAATGTCCACGGCACTGCCAGTCGCTCCTCCATCGTGCGCACCGTTGATGTTGTCCTTGCCGCCGCCAACACCACTACCGCCGCCATCAGCATGATGCTCTCCAGCTGTCGAACCTCCAGCCTCGTCCACATCCATGGCCTCCGTCTTGATCTTCACCTCGCCATCGAGGCCATCCTCCGTCTTGATCTCTATTTTGATCATGCTGGTGCCGTCGTTGTTAACATTCTTGCCCTTGCCGCCGCCCGTCGAGCAATCCATTTGGGAGCTATCGTTGTTCCCACCACAGCTGTCGTCCATGAACTCCTTCTTGATGTCATCATCCTGCTTAATCGAGTCCAGCTTGCCCTTGGAGGCCATTCCACCAGCATTCCCACTTCCACCACTGCCGTTCGTGTTCTCGCCAGAGGGCGAGGGTGTCTCATCGTCGTTGTCTCGCGCCGCAGCCTCCAAGGCAGCCATCTGTGAGGAGAGACTGCTGGAGCTGCTCATCATGCGACTGCTCGAGGACGTCGATGTGGTGGTAGTCGCACCCGCTCCGCCTCCAGCCGAACCTCCTGACATCAGGAGCAGTGGATTGCTAGCGGGCGTCGTCGATGATCCTCCTCCTCCGCCACCGCCGCTGCTGGTGGCCATCGTGGCCGAAGTGGGCGTCGATACCGAGCTGAGCGGTGTACCCGAGCCCGCCGAGGAAGATGAGGAGGTGGAACTGACACCCGCCGCAGTGGCTCCACTGCTGCTGTTGTTGCTGCCACTGCCACTACTCGCACATGTGGCTGCTGCTGATGCGGGCGTACTGCTCGCCGCCAATCCAGAGGCACTGGTTGCCGGCACTGGAGAGGCGGGTATGTAGGGAGGCGAACCCGGCCGATTGCTTAGCGGTTGTTGCATCAGGCTGCTCACCGAGGGCGGGTTGTTGTTAGCACTACTGCTGTTATTGTTGTTGGAGGGCGTGCCAATCGACGGGCCGTTGGACAGGAAGCCAGGCGATGGACTGGGAGCTGAAACCGTCACATTGGAGGCCGATCCTCCTGTTCCCGGCGCCCCTGCTCCGGCACTCAGAGCCTCGAGGCTTGTGGGCGTGGGCGGCATGTTGTTCAGCACACTGCCGGGCTTTTGTTGCTGCTGCTGTTGCCCTTGCTGCTGCTGTTGTTGCTGCATCGGCGAGCTAAAGCTGTTGCTGGTCGGCTGCTGCTGTTGTTGCTGCTGCTGCAGAGGCGTGGCATTGCTGAATGGAGACTGCGGCAACAACATTCCCTGTTGCTGCTGCTGTTGTTGTTGTTGCGCCTGCTGTTGCTGCTGCTGGTGCATGTGCCGCTGCTTCATCATCTCGCTCAACTGAGGATTGGCGCCAGTGCCGCCGTTCGCATTGATGAACTGCTGCTGTTGCTGCTGTCCCGGCACCGGACTGGTGAGCACGTTGGTCGTCTGGTAGGGCGAGAGCGCCGGATTGACTACCATGCCACCGGGACTGGGTCCGGGTGGTCCGACCAGCATTTTGCCAGCTCCAGAGCCGGGCGGTTGCTGCTGCTGTTGTTGCGGGAACTGCATGCGCTGCTGCTGCTGCAGTGTGAGCATGTTGCCCCCGGGCGAGTGACTGCGCATGGCCACCATGTTGTTGGTGACGCCCAGAGCTGCAGCCGTCGGCTGACCCAGTATTCCGGATGGGCCTTGTGGGCGCAACTGCTGCGGAGCCATCACATTGCCCATGGGACTGATGCTGGAATGGATGCAGCCCTGGGGAGCCTGCTGACCCTGCTGCTGTTGGGGGAGAACTACTCCGCCCGCTCCGCCAGCTGCACTGCCAGCTCCGCCAGCCGCTACCGGCACCTGATTCGCGGCACTCTGGTGCTGCAACAACATCTGCTGGTGTTGCTCCTTGCGCTTCAGTCGCTTCTCCTCCAGCTCCTTCTGGATCTTGTAGATCTTCTCGGCCAGCAGGTGATAGTACTCCGATCTAGACTTCGCCATCTCGTACATGTCCTTCTCGACCTTCTCCGCGTACGAGACGAGATTGTGCATTCGCTTGTCCTGCATGGTGGTGGGATCCGAGGTGGGAAAGATGGCCTGCACCAGTTTGTGGACGAGATGGTTGCGCAGATCGCCGGTAACCGACTCCCGCCAGTCCTTTTCGTTGTCGCCGGGCGTTCCAGAGTTTCCGCCATTGCCATTGCCGCCGGCGCCTCCAGCTCCCGCTCCCGCGTTCTGATTGGGATTGCCAGCGTTGCCACCGCCCGTGGTATCGGCCGGCATCAGGACACTGGAACCGGCGCCCACTTGTCCACCACTCGCTCCGGCGCCGGCAGCTGCTGCGCCCGCTCCAACCACATGGCTCTGCGGATGGACCTGGGCAACCTTCAGCTGCTGCTTGTCATTGGCTCCTCCGGCTACGCCGGCTGCGGCACCACCGAAATTGGTATTGCCAAAGCCACCGACGTTGACAGAGAGTGGTGCTGGAATGTTGCCAACCAGCTGGGCGGGATTGGGTTGCTGCTGCTGCTGCTGTTGTTGTTGTTGCTGCTGCTGCTGTTGCTCCACCATGTTGGCCAGGCCACCGCGTCGTCGGTTCTGCTGTTGGAGCATCTGCTGCTGCTGCTGTTGCTGCAGGCTGTTCACGTCGTTCGGCAGGACATTGGGTCCACTTGGGCCGCCGGGACCGCCAGGTCCTAGAACCCTGACAGCCGGCTGGGCGCCCTGCATGCGAATCACAGGAGGCAAGCCCTGCTGCTGCATTCCGCCGGCCGGAACTGGCGATAGTCCGACCTGGCCCATGCCATCGAAGCGACGGAGTTCCTGCTGCTGGACCTGCTGCTGGTGCACCTGCTGTTGCTGCTGCTGCTGTTGAGTCAACTGTTGGACCATGTCCGCCGGCGTTTTGGGCGCACCCGGTGTTCCGCCCGCTCCCTGCTGTTGGGGTAGAACTATGGCAGTGTTCTGAACACCTCCCGGTGCCACCTGCTGTCCTTGCTTGCCATCCCCCACCAGACCCGTCAGATTGGGCTGCTGGTTCTGCTGTTGCTGCTGCTGCAGATTACCGCCTGCTCCGGCCGCTCCACCAGCCGCTCCGCCACCAATGGCCGCTGCTTCTGCATTTCCTGCCGGACCGCCACCAGGTGGCACATTCGCGTTTTGACAAACCGTATGATTCTGCCGAAATGGAAAGCAAATGATGCAGCCCCTGTTGATGCACGTCTTGTAATGCAACAGGATCTGGCGCGAAGAGGCACAGTGCTGCATGGTGCAGTCCTTGCTCTGCTTACAAGTGCCCATGTGGGCGAGCACTGTTTTCATCGCCTTGCAGTAGTTGACGTTACACACCTCTCTGTTCGGATTTAAGTTCTCCCTGCGGTTGCATTTGTGCGCATGGAGCAGCAGCATCAGTTGCTGCTGGATCTGTCGTTTCCGGTCGTCGGGCACATCGCGATTGGCGCCACCAGGGCCGACCACTTGTCCGGCGCCACCGCCAGCCACTGCTGGGACACCAGCGACGGCACCGGCATTGGCCACAACGCCTGCTCCAACGAGTCCGACTCCCTGCAGCTGCTGTTGCTGCTGAGAGGTGCCGGGCTGCTGTTGCTGCTGCTGTCCGGGGTGACCGAGTAGCTGGTTAGGTTGCGGTGGGCGCGGACCCATCGCTCCGGGCTGCTGCTGCGCAAGCATCTGTTGCTGCTGGGGATTCCCGCTGACCAACTGCCCGGTGGGCACAGATCCATCGCTTCCGAGAGTGGACATGGGGACCACGGTGCCGACGGGTCGATTGCCCTGCGGCATTCCCGGTACGACACCGCCTCTTTGGGCCATCTGCTGGGCGAGGAGTTGCTGCTGTTGCTGCTGCTGTTGTTGCTGGGGATTGTTGCCGCCGCCAGGGCCACCATACTGACCCACTCCGTAAGGCAGACTGTTGAGTTGGCCTGAAAAGGGGAGATGCGATACTTAGCCACCGTTTCCACTCATCTGAATTAGGGAAACTCACCCATTTGCATGTTGGGATTCTGCATGCGCGGTCCTCCGCCGCCTGGTCCGTTACCCGGTCCACCAGCTCCTCCCGCGGCACCCATTAGATGCGGACCACGAAGCATATGCTGTTGCCCCACCATACGCCCCATCATCGGACCGTTCTGCATGTGCATGCCTTGGTTCGGTGTCACGGCTCCACCGCCGCCAGCTCCAACACCTCCGGGTCCTGCTCCTGGGCCACCTGGTCCGCCTGGCACGGAAACGGCATTGATCATGCCACCGCCGCCGCCGCCTGGCTGCTGTTTCAGCTGGTTGACCATGCCGCCCATGCCACCCATGCCGCCGCCAACGCTGTTGGTCAGGACCATGTTTCCCAGATTGCCCTGGGCAATGGTGTTCATGCCTGCAGGAGAGACAGCGAAAGGGGGATTAAAGAAAGTCGAATTTAGATCACCTTTGCAGCGAGGTTTAAAGAAATGAATAGTTCAATTACAATTGATATATGGACCTGCTGAGGGGCATCACTTTAGCGGACTTAACACTCACCTGGTATGGCGTTCATGCCATTGTTGCCATTATTCGATATAGACATTGGCATCGTGTTGCCCATGCCCATCTGAGTGCCCACCACCTGCTGCATGCCACCCTGGTTGGGCGATTGCAGGTTGGGGGACTTGCTGCCCAGCTGCTGCATCCCGGGCACCACCATGGCGCCCTTCTGACCCTGTTGCTGCTGCTGCTGCTGGAGTAGGTGCTGCAGCTGGTGGTGCGGCATTTGGCTGATTCTGTTGGCGTTGCCCGTTCCTGAACCATTGCCGCTGCCGTCGTCGCCGCCCGTTCCGGATCCGTTGCCGCCGCCGGCTCCGTTCATCTGGGAAGGCACAACGCCGACGCCGACAACGTTCACTCCAACGCCAACTACGCCAGATCCCGGTCCTTGGGCTGCCGGTTTGTTGGGTCCGCCGCCAGGATTTGGTCCGGATGTGGAATTTGTGGTCACGCCGGAGGCGCCGCCGCCTCCATTGCCGCCTCCTGCTCCGCCGGTCAACTGATCCGTCCAGCCGCTGTTCGATGACACTAGCTCATCGGGCAGATTCTCCTCCAGAAAGTAGGAGATGTCCGCTGCGAAAAGATTAACAAATATGGGTTTAGCAAGGTATTTGGCACAGGATTAAAGAAATCCCCACAACAATTAATATTATTACGAAACCAACTTGTAAACTGATTCATAAAAAAAAAAATTTTACCACAAAATGGTGAAATAATTGATGGGAAACTTGAACTTCTTATCTACTTGAATAAAAATGTAATGAATAAATTAGAGAAAATCATACGAATGTTCATTGCTTCTGGAAATTCCGGGAATCCCACAGGATTATTTGTATTTGTATTAAATTCACAAAAATTTCTTATTATTTTGTATGTAATTATAATATTAAAAGGTAAAACGATGAACTATAAGAATTGCCTTAGACCGAGAACAAAAAAACAAAATGCCGGCTTGTTAAAATGTCAAGTCACCCAGGGATTTATTTTCGCCGGCAGATTGGCACATTGAAAATGGAAATTTCTGGAGCTACTCACTTGAATCCATTTTGACCCGCTTCTGGGGCGGTTCGTCTAAGTGATCGGCCATCATATAGAGTTAGTTGGATTCTTCGTCGTCCAAAAACGAAGACGAAAACAAAAAGAACGTTGGAAACCCGGAGGAAATTAAGTGGAAAAAGCGTTCCTCCGTTCGCCGTAGGTTTTTCCGAGTTGGTTTTTATTACGTCCGAGTTTTATTTTGTTGCTTGTTTTTTGATCCGACAACGTTGAAGTTAGAAAGTATTCTGATTTTGTCAAGGGAGCTTGTGCTTGTTTTCTTGTTTTTTTATTTTTGACAGTTGTTGCACAGGTTGCCAAAAGGTTTGTTTCAGTGTTTAGTTACGATACTTTTTCAGTTTTGGACACTTCTGCAACACACACACGCACATACAACACAACACACAAAAGAGGCACTCAAAAGGCGTGGCTGGCGAGGATTAGGATTTGGTTTTGGTATTGGTATTGGTTTAGGCTTTTGATATCGATGATTGAGACTGATGCTGAGGTGGTCGTTGCTAAGGATTCTGTTTTGCTGCTGTTACTGATCAGTAGTTGTCGCTGCAACGACAGCAACAACGTCGGCGGCGCTATCGTCACCGCAACGACGCCGGGTGGAGACCACGTCGTCGTCGTGGCTCCCGCTTCGGCTCCTCCTGCTCCTGCTGCTCTCCCTTCTTCGTCTCCTCCTTCCGCTTCCGCTGATCCTGGAGGACCGCGCAGCCACCACCGCCTCCTCGTTGCGGCGCCGTTGAGATCGTTGTCGTTGTCGCCGCCACTGGCGCTTTGGCCAGCAGACAACTTCTCCCGCTCCCGCTGGTCCTGTTGCTTCTTCTTATGCTCCTTTTCCTTTTCCCGCTTGACCTGTACCGCTTCCGGTTCTAGTGCTTCCTCTTCCTTGTGCTTCTTTAGCTGCAATTTGTTGTTGTTGTTGCCGCTGCCGCCGCTGCTGCTGCTGCCGTCGTTGTTCTTGTTATTGTTGTTGTTGCAATTGTTGTTTGTCGAACAGCAGCAGACACACGCGTGCATTTTGTGTTGTTGGGCCCCAAAAACACCAAAAGTTGACCTTGGCTGGGCGGGGGGCTGTGTTTGTTGCTGTTTGTTTGTTTGTTGTTGCCTGCCTGCCTCCACTGAGCGAAAAATTAACGGTTGTTGTTCGGCTCTTTGTCTCCTTCTCTTCTCCCTTTTCTTAATCCGCCTTTTCCGCTATCTTACATCTTTTCAGTGATTTGTTTTTTTGGCGGCTTTTTTTCGGCTCCACTTCTTTTTATATATATATATATATTGTTATATATTATATATGTTATTATTATATATTAGTTTGATGCACTTGATTCTGTTTTCGTTTATAATAAAAAAAAGCAATTCACAATGTTGGCTGTTGATGTTGGGTTTGTTGTTTTTCGGTTGTTTTTGTTTTTGTTGCTGGCGCTGCTGCTGCTGTTGTTGTTGCTGATGTTGATGTTGTTGCTGCTGCTGCTACTGCCGCCGTTTGCCGCTCTAACATTGCACATAAACTGTAACGCACAAAATAAAATGCTTGCCTATTAGATTTATTGAACACACTGAATCGAATATTTATTTATTTTTTTAGCCGCGCGCGAGTGGCCAGCGAAAACGGAGGGGAAAAGGGAAACGGGAAACTAAACGAAACGATATGAAAAGGGGCGAAAAGGGAACGAGAACGTACATTTCTCTCTCTCTTGTCTCGCAATTTTATTCGGCAAATTCTACGCGCTGTACTCGCTGCAAACGTGTGGACGTGTGTGTTGGTCTCTCGCTCTTTTGGCGCACACCACAAAAATGAAAATAATATAATTTATTTTGCCGCCAGGCCCCGAAACAAGTGCCGTTGCTGGTAAAATTATGATTTAAAAAATTATAGGAATTTGAGAGTTAAAAAAGTTTTACAATTGAGGGAAAATACCCCCTTAAGGAGTGCCAAATAATGCTAAAGCACTGTAACTACAACTAGAAATGCCAGCCGGCTAAGCCTATTGCTCAGCGCACAATTTACATTTTAAATGGCCGTAAAAGTGGCCGTATTTTGGTTTTGCTTCCGCGTTCGAGCGGCCATCATATGAAATTAAAGTTGTTGGGGCTGGCGAGTGGCGAGTGGGGAGCGAGCGGGACGACACTAGTAGTGGGGCTGGCTGACAAAAGCTTTCACACACACACATATTTAAGGTTTGGGGCGCGCGTACAGAGAATTCTCACAGCGACGCCAACGTTTTCACCACACAGTTACACACACGCACACACACACAGGCAGACCAACGAGTCAGTGCCAGAGCGAAAACACGACCACGAGAGAGAGAGAAAGCGTGCGATAGTATAGGTGACGAGCGGCGCATCGCATTGGTGTGCATACACACACGACGGGTAAGCGGCAACGAGTGCGAGGAGCATTGGAAAAAGAAAGAAAAACAGACGACAGAAATATATTCCATTTTTTTCTGTGTTCGCTCGTCGTTTTCGTTTCGTTTTCTTCTTCACGTCGTTTCAAAGTTTCTATTGCAGAAATTTTTTGTGTTGTCTCCGCCGCAGCGTTTTTTATTTTTCACGGCCCGCACAAAAATCGCAAAATTCAACGATGCAAATGCGAAATTCGAGAAAATGCTGTAGAAAATTTGAAAAAATTTCCGGCCTTATTTCGGTCCGGTTTCGAATTTTCACACCACAACCGATTGCCACGCACAAAATTTCTAAATATTCTTTGCAATTTTACCGAGTTTTGATTTCGTACCATATATTTTTCACATTTTCCGGCGATTTTAGAAAAATCCCACAAACTTTTTCGCAACACTAAAACAAAAAAATTTCAGTCCGCTTGTGTTAATCGTTCTCCGAGCCAAAAATGTTTTTGCTTCAGTGTGACCGCGGCTGGCCGTTGAAATACACCACCGAGCACGGAAATACACTAAAATTGACTGCTTGACGAAACACGCGAGTGCCGCTCTCGTTGCTCTCGCGACCTGTTAGTCCGCTGTTATGGCTGAAAATGCCATACAAATGCCGCTGTTACCAAGCTCTTGTCGTCATAACAGCTGTTAGCCGCTCACGCCACGCGCTCTGGCGAGAGCCGACACGCACACACTCGCACACATATGGCGCGCCAGATAACAAAACAGCGAGTCCAGAGATGAGCACTACTCACCGGTGACAAACTCGCCGATATTTTATTGCGTCCGAAATCACTGCTTGGGTCACGATAATGTCGTGACAACGAATATTTGCAAGCATAAATAAGAAGAGGAAAAAACATTGAAAATTTAAAATTATTTGGGCTGGATGGATTTTTCCTACCTATTATTTATTTCCCACAAAGTTTAAAGAAGTTAAAAGTTCATACTTTGTAAATTTTAAAGAAAAAAATTTCCCGTGTTTTACTTCCTGTATTTTAATTTTAAGATGGATAAAAAAAAGCAATTAAGAACGTCAAATGGTGAAAATAGTCTTCTATTATCTTTAGATTCGTTAGTTATTTTATATTTGTAATATTTTAATTCATATTTTTATTCGCTAAACAATAATATAAACATCTTCAACATAGATGTAAAATATAGTAAACGAAACACTTTCTTTTCTCTAACAAAAATACATCCACACATCTTTAAAGAATTGAAATTTGGTGTCTATTACTAACAAAATGATTATTTTCTATATGGTTAAAAATAAATTAAGTAACGATATTTACAGGGGCAACTAAGAAAATCACTAGAACTGAGCATCTCTAGTGGGTGCAGTGTGAGCGTGTCGCCGCGAGAGCAATGAGAGCGAGAGAGAGCAAGCCGAAAAATCAACCGCCGCAGGATAACACTATCGTTGTCCTTGTCCAACGAACCGGTGGCCATGCAAACAACGCACAGAACAAATTAATTTTCAAATTATTCCATTAATACCCCACAAGCTTCCCATTTTCCCGCAGGATTTTGGTGTCCTGCGGATGCTCTTTCGTAAACTTTCGAGCACTTTTTCGATTTTCGCGCGCTGTCGATGGGATCGTATTTATTTACAATTTTTTTGTTAGCGGCCGCCGTTGTTTGTTGCACATACACAGCACGCACACACGCTTGCACTGTGACACACTGATGCACACACACCGACACGTTGTCACCGAAACGAGCGGGATGGCAATTTCGTTGTGTAGCGATCGAAGATTGAGTGCAAGCGGGATGGCACGAACGAGACTGGAGCGAGACGGGTCAGCGAGTGCCTCTTTTGCGATTGGGAATAAATGCCCGACTTTTTACACTAGATGCGCTGGTTATTATTTAATTATTCTATTTTTCTCGGAACATTGGCAATCGACGGCATTTAATTTTCCTCAAAACACGCCTTACAAACCGATTGATCCGACGATGTCTTTGCTGCGCCTCGCGTGTACAATTTGCGCCAATTTCCCCCCTTTTCCTGCTTTTTTCAGCCCTCTCTTCGTCTTCTTCTTCCAAGCATTTGTCTGCGGCGCAGCGCTGCCGCACTAACTTATTTGTAGCTAGATAGCGGAATTAGATATAAATATAGCTTTTTTCTGTTTATGTTGTTATTTGCTCTTAAATTATTCAATTTGCAATATCCTTAAATAGCAGTTCAGGACAAATTTAATAAATAATATTTACCTAAAGAATAAAATTAAGTTTTTGTTATAAAAAAGGTTTTCTAAATTTTTTTTGTAAAAGCAAGGTCAAATATTAATTTAATTTTTTTTATATCAAATAAATTTCCAAATTAATTTGTTTTTGGTTCAAACTTTTCTGTAAGCAATAAAAGCCAGATTTTTAGCAAGTTAACCAACTAAAGGTCGACGGTGTATAAGTTAAATTTGATCGTTTTTAATAAATTTGTTGTTTAACGAAATACAACAAATTATACCAATGAAATTCTGAAAATCGATATAAGCCGAAAAAATTTAGACACAATCCACGGCTTGGAACCCAAATAAGGACCTAGCATAGTCTCCAACCGTCAACGCTGTTCCTACTGTCAGTGTAAAAATTAATTTGACTCATGTAAATGTTAAAAAGTGGCGCCCCTCATCGGCTTTTAATAAAATTAACGTGACCAAAATTGGAATCTTAAATACATATTGTCGGTAGGTGTCGCCTTAGGGAATTCAAATAACTTAAAATACATTCTTATATTTACAAAGCTTAAGAATCATAACAAAATGCTTTTAAAAAATATACATTTTTCATTTAAAGATAAGAAATGAAACAATAGTCTAAATTTTCGAAAACTGGCCTTGCCGAAAATTGACCAAAAACCTACACCTCTAAGCCCATAACTTTTCGTACAGACATCCGATTTCAAAACGGCATACCTCTAAATAATTGTGGCTTAATTCTCTAAAAATTTGTGTTTTTATTTTATTTTTTATTTTTGGGTCGATTTTTCGTTATTTCCAAATTTCCGAAAAATGGGCTTGCAGAAAAGTGTCCAAAATCAAGTCTTCTAGGCTCATAACTTTTCTTACAGACATCCGATTTCAGAGTGGCATACTTCAAAATGATTGTAGTTTGATTCCCTAAAAATCTGTGTTTTTAGTTAAATTTTTTTTTTTGGGTCGATATTTCGTCATTTTTAATGATGTTACCTTTCCAAACTTTCGAAAAGTGGGTTTGCGGAAAAGTGCCTAAAATCAGCACTTCTAAACTCATAACTTTTCTTACAGACATCCGATTTCAAAGTTGCATACTTCAAAATGATCGTGGTTTAATTCTATAAAATTCTGCGTCCCCACTTTAATTTTTTTCGAAACTTTCAAAAAATGGGTTTGCGGAAAAGTTCCAAAAAACTGCACTTCTATGCTCATAACTTTTCTTACAGACATCCGTTTTCAAAGTGGCATACCTCAAAATGATCGTGGTTTAATTCTCTAAAAAACTGTGTCTTTACTTTAATTTTTTTTTTGGTCGATTTTTCGTCATTTTCAATGATGAAACCCCCTTCCAAATTTTCGAAAAATGGGCTTGCAGAAAAGTGCCAAAAAACTGCACTTCTATGCTCATAACTTTTCCTACAGACATCCGATTTCAAAGTGGCTTACCTCAAAATAATTGTGGTTTAATTCTCTAAACATCTGTGTTTTTGATTTAGTATTTATTTTTGGTCCGATTTTTCGTCATTTTCAGAAAAGTGACCAAAGCTTGCCCTTTTAAGTCCAACATTTTTTTCACAGAAATCCGATTACGAAGTGGTACCTCTAACAGCTTGTAGTTTGATTCCCAAAAAATCGTTTTTGCAAATCCAATTTTAAGTAAAATTAAAAATTCGGTTAGAGACTCCATCAATCACAGAATAAAAAATATATGTATTTTGAATTTTCGGTTATATAAATATATATTTTTATTTGTTGTACATATAGTGTAATGAGTAAAATTCAAAATCCGGTTACAGTCTTCGTTTACTGGAGAATAATAAATAAATATTTTTGATTTCCTCTTGCACAGGTCGTTTTCCCTTTGAACCTGTTGTGCCACCGACTGAAACAAAAAGCCTCGGGCCAGGACAAAGGAGCAGCGGCAGGTTCTAAGGGCTCAAAAGAACAGCGACTCGCAATTTGGAATCGGACCAATTAGTTGTCCTTTGTCCTGGCACCTTTGTCGCCTGCATTTCGCAAACACACAGCGAAATCACATCGATTTTTCCCATGGCCCATGGCTTTTCCTCAGTTGCCACTGTTTCAGGGGCCAAGGAGTCCTGTTTCGGGGTCGAGGATCCTTTTCTGTTTTTTTTTTTTTGCCCGTGGAAGGGGCTCAGCGGGGCGTGCGGTGCGAAGATCAGAGGAGCGGACCGCCGCGGGGCGCCCTCAACTGATGATCATTTCGACACCCCATTTGAGCGGCTGCCCGGCGGCTTCTTCTCTTCTCCGGTTCTCTCTGGGCAGCTCCTGTTCTCAATACACCGCGAGAAATATTTACAGAAGCTGTTTGACACATTTTTAATCAAAACTGAAAAAGCAACTATTTTCTTTCCCATAATTTGAAGTTTTCTTTAAGAAATTATTTAATGCAAATCAAAAAAAGAAAATAAGGCTCCGCAATAATTTAGATGTTTTTAATTTATTAAAACTTTAGACCATGTTTTAAAATCATAATTTATACTTTTTATATTTAAGAATTAAATAAGTTTAAATAAATTATAAACATTATGAACACTGTTTATTTATTATTAAATTAATATTTATAAAATCATACATTTGAATAAATAATATTAAATGCATGTGTTTTAAAATGGGTTTTAAAGATTATATATAATTTATTTATTAATGAAATTAGTGAACATTTGGTTTATAGAACTTTCCACATGACAATGTCGGGACAACTATATAACTATATTTTTATTTGAGTGTACCAACAAGTGCCTCGAGTTCGGACATCTAGAGATTTGAGCTCGGCCAAGTGATTTCCCGGGAAGTGTTAGAATCCCCTTGTTTCGGCACTCTTTCTTCGCTCCTTCTCTTTCTACCCCTATTTAGGGGCTGTAAATTGATGCTGTTGACATTTTTAGTGCAAAACGGTCCCCGAGGAGATCTCTAATATCTTGTTCGCGGTTCCCCCGCCCCCTGCCCCTCGGGACCCCCCTCCCTCAGCGACACACGCTTCGTCATAAAAGAACAGCCCAGAAAAAACACACACACACTTGGTTGGGTTATATTTATTATTGAAATTAAAATTTATTGTTTGCTGCTATTGTTTTTCTTTTTGTGATCGGCTGTGTGTGTTTTTTGCATCGTTGCCGCTTGATTAGAGAATTCCGTGGAAGTCCGAAGATCCCGATTCCGATTCCGATCCGATCCCGAGAGATGGCCACAAGTGCGCCCCCGAAAAGGTCAAAAAGGGCGTGGCACGACCTTGCGATGAGGCCTGCGGATTGCGCAATCTGTCGTCAAACAGCCGTGCAAGTTGGGCAAATCGTGTATGCACTATATATGGATATATTTGGAGGAAGGGGTGAAGAAAATGGGGGCGTTGCCTGGATCTGCTCAGATGAATTCCTTCGCCATCTGTTGCATCTCGTGGATAATGACGGCAAAATTCAGCAGCAGCAGGATTAGCTCTAAAAAATCCACTTCATATAGTTTTCATACTTTTGGGAATGACATATCTCAGCCAAAATAGAAAAGAGCAGAACGAAATGCATTTGTGCATTGTACTTTGTACTTTAACATAGCATCTGAAGTAAAACAACGTATTTTTACAAATTATTAAATTTTCTTCACTCAAATAGAAAAGGTTAAATAAGTATTCCTTGACTTCAAATTCATTTATAATTAAAAAAAATATTTCATGATAATTTAGTTATTTGGGTTATATAATTGAACAATCTTAATGTGGTTCCTAAAAGTCTAGAAGTCCTACAAAATCCTAAAATGTTCAAAAAAGCAATTAGTAAAATGACAAATTTAATAAATAATAAGACAAAAATGAATCCCAGATCAACTTTGGCGAAAGTCAGAGATTGTGCAGAAGTCAAAGATAGTTAGCGATAGGTAGATGTTCAGAAACAAGGAACGAGATACAAAGTCAATTGGCGAAAAAACCCTGGAGATTAATCTAATCTCCGCCGAAGAACGGGGCGAAGACGCTAGAGAGGCCAAAATATTTGCAGACAGTGAAAGGATTTAGATGCGAAAATCCCCATAAATCCAATTAACACAAATCTGCATAACGGGTTAAGGTTTGCGGTCCTTTTTCGCAGGGTAAAGGATTATGGGTTCGCAAGTCCTGCGCACCCGAAAATTTCAATTGAAGTTTCGTTCGCACTACCTGGCCACCACGATATCTGGCCTCTCGCTCGGATTATCGCAGACGATCCCTTGACTTTTCCTGCTAAGCGATCGTAAAACGTGGATTATGCATTTATGGCACCCCGCACAGCCACCCACTCGCCCACCAACCCAAAGGGTGCGGTTTAATCCGAGACCACCAAAAACCGATGGCCGGGCCATATAGCTGCACTCCAAAAAAATTGGAGTGGCTTCTGGAATTCGTGTCAGAATTATGGGCACATAAATTAGTCAATAATATTGCACTTAGCTGGTTTGTTTTATTAACCAACTGCAATTAACAGTTGTGACCGCAATGATCAGAGTTCGATTTCATTTTGGGTTGCAAATAGATAGTCTATACATTTTGGGGAACAATTTAATATTGTTGAACTACAAAATATTTAATTTGATTATTTGTTTTTCAACACAACTTATTTTATGACATACTGATCAAGCCAAGTTAGAATTAAGTTAGTTAGAAAGTATAGCCTCAAAAAGTAGGAAATATATCCTTAATATAAATATAAAATATTAAACATACACAAAGTCCTTTGTTTTTCTGCGTGTAGAAGACCAGAAGATGTCGCATTAATCTTCAAAAGGACAGCGATCAGGATCGAGAATCAATAATTACGATTCAGGCGTAACCGAGTCGGGGGCTAGGTAGCAAAACAGAACGGGGTTATCCTGACGGATTCTGTTTCTGCTTTCCGGATTAAAGTCGATCCAGCGAGAAATCCCGCGGATGAGGAGCTTTGATGCGACGAAGTCAAAACTTTTCCAGCTTAACCCCAGATTAGTCATCCCGCGATCTCTACCTGAAATCGCTGATCTCCGCCTTGTTTGGTGGGCTCGTCGCGGCTAATCAATTGATTATCGCTACGGATCGGTTCGGTTCGGATCGGAATGGTTGAGATCGGTTTTTGGGGACGTGGGATTGACTGTTGTAGGCTTGAGAGGAGGATTGAAGGGTTCAATCGTGGCCTTATTTCTGGAGTCACTTCCTGAATATAGATTAGGATTCATTTTGCACAATATTTTGACAGATTTACAGATTTTCAGGAGATTTTCAGATCACCTCTTCCGATTTTGTTGCGATCTTAAATGATTAAGAGGTTTAGTTTGAAATATACTTGAAGGATTACTTTACTTATAAAACACTTTAGATTTAATATCATTGCATATAATATATCGTATCATATTTTTAATTTTCTAGGTAATTTTCCACTAAAACTCTTTAAAAGTGGTTGCTAAGTTCAATAAGTCTGTAACTTTTTATTCCCAACTAAAAAACCATGTTTGGCTTATGGAAATTATCGCCTTTTCCCGCTCCCAAAACTCCAAAGCAATTTTCCAACTCCATTTGACCTAGTGGTACAAAAAAGTGGGCGTGATCACTGGTGGGCGGCGGGTAGATAGGGATAGTAGGAACTTTCGTTGCTGTTGCTGCCGACTTTTTGCTAATTGATTATGCGGCGACGTTGTGGCCCAAGGACAAGAACAAGAACAAGAGAAAGAGAAAGAGCAAGAGCAAGGACAAGGACTCGAGGAGGAAGCAGGGTGTATATAATTCCCGAAATGGAGGTGGGCCAGGGGTGGAAAGGGGGGAGGGGCTGGGCAGGCGCAGGCAGACGGTCTTCAAGTCTAGTTGACTTCAGCATTGTCATAAATCTTCGGTAGCCAAAAGGGCCAAAAGAGGAACCGCGGGGCAGGAAGAATCGGGGCAAGGAGGAGACTGCCAGCACGAGACAGACTCCTTGTTGTTGCCCTGGTTGCCTCAATATAATTGTATCTTCCGTTTCATTACATGTTGCCCAGAAGTCCCAGTCGACTACCCACTAAAGATCAAGTTGGGTATATAGGGCTTGGGATATTATGCTTCCCTAAATAAGAAGTAGCGATTGGTAAAATTATAAATTATTGTCTCGAGAATCAACCATAATTCTGATTAATACTGATTATATTATCCTTATATTTTAAATTTCAAAAAAAAAGATTAAGGAATTTAAATGATTTTTTAGATTATCTTTAAATTGTATAAAAATTTACGAAAATATCGAATTAAATGTAAGAGATTTATATTAGTTTTGAGAAGGATAATCTTTTATTTTTTTCACATATAAATAATGCTCGAAAAGACACAATATATGGGTAAGTGGATATTAACTTTCATAGTAATCACATTATCTTTGAAGTACGAATTATGTAAATAACCCCTTAATTTATTTACCCGCGAAATATCAGAGGGTAATTGGCAAGTCGAAATGCCTTTCAGAGGGCTCGTTTCGTTTTGGGAGTCATCATTATCTTTTCACAGCAGCAGCAAATCGTAAAATTTGTGGCCCGGGCCCACGTTGCGTATGCGTAATAAAAAAGACGCCGCATAATAAAAAGGGAGCGAAAACAATAACAACAATTGTGATTAATATGCGACACACACACACACACATGTGCCTTGTGAGAGCGAGAAAGCGAAAGAGAGAGCTGCTATCTCTCTCTTTTGTGGTGGTGTTTGGTCAACGCCCCTTTAAATACAGTTATTTCATTGGGCCGCGACCACAAATTTATTAGTTTTTATTGTTATTGTATTGATATTTGAATTATGCCCGCTTCCCCTTCTTCTTCTTCTTCGGGGTTCTCGAGAGAAAAATGAAAAATTAAATGCCATTAAACAGAAATTTTAATTTAATTAAAATGATGAGCCATGCTTTTTTCTGTCTGCTTACTTTCGTCGAAACCAATTGAAGTACGTGAAATGGTAGGGGCTAAATGGGTTAAGGGATAATGGATAATGGGAATTTAAGCAGATATTCGTGTTTATAATGAAGGTACTAGAAATGTGTTTAAAGTCGAGTAATTTATGGTCATCTAAATTGAAAGGGAAAAATGGGTAAGTATTGTTAAATTATGAAATGTACATTGTGTTAATTATAAAGAATATAAAAATATACTTTTGAACTGTTTCATTTAATTATTGTAAAGAAATTATAATGATTTTGAAAAATTGTATTAAAAAAAAATAGTTATAATATTGCAGATACTTTTTTATTATTTATGGAGCACAATTTAAAGTTTGTTTTTTAATATTGTTTGCGACTTTTGGTTAAGTCTTTTAAACAATTTTTTTCTTGGAATTAATTTTCTGTTTATTGGAAACCAAATATATAATAGTGTCTTAGTTTTTATGACTCTTTAAATCCGATAAATTGTATGATCTGAGCCTAAAGTTAAGTCCAAATTTTCGTCTAAATGGATTCCGATTAAAGATAGAGCAAACTTTTGGCTTAAAGCTATGGTTTGACCACAGGTACAACAACAAAAACAAAGACAAGAAGCAATGTGAGCACCAACAACAACAGCTAGCAAAAACAACACCAAAGGGTAACAACAACAACAAAAGGCATGCTCACCCAATTGCTTTGACACACAAACCCACACATAGAAATTAAAACAAAACGCCTGCGGCAGCAGAACCAAGAACAACAATAGGTAGAGAGAGCAACTCTTAAGTGAGAGCAGGAGAGCAGGATGGTGGTGGAACAGAGGAGCTCCCATTGCCCAACATAGAGTGCGACTGAGATCAAGCTAGTTGCCCCGAAGGCACTGTTTTGGCCAAAAACAACCACCATGGCTGGCCGAGAGCGAGAGAGTGAGAGAGCAGCGGCTAAGCGCGCTAGGCAGGCGTGTAGGCGAGACAGCACTAGCTCTGCTCTGTCGCTGCCTTCTGCCCGCGCCGCTGCCCGCAGCCAAGTGATTCGTTTTGTACGTTGTTAGACTCTCTCGCCGCGTTTTGGAATTCAGTCGACAATCGACGATAATTACCGGTGGTTGTATCACATCCCGCGCAGCAGCAGCAGACCGAGAAGACGCAGCAGAAGAAGTAGCAGCAGCGCAGCAGAGAAACCCGCTCGTATTTCGATTCCATATATATACGCACATCTATATATATATATAGGGAATATACATTGGCGAATTTTCGGTCGCCTTTAATTTGTTTGTGTTTTTTCCGTGTTCACCGCGTGCATATGCAATTACGTGTGCGTCCACAAAAGACTATAATTATAAAACTAAAGTGAAAAGCGTGCCATAATTACACGAGAGCAATATCAATAAGTGCGAGAGCAATGTGCGAAAATTACTAACGAACGCAGTAGCAGTAGCAACAAACAGCAAAAGCAGCAGCCAAAAAAATCACCACATCACATTTATTCCGAGTCTTTCAACATGATCGATGCGGCCTGCAATTATTTGAATCCCTATGCGCAACAGCATCAGGCACAGCAGACGCAGCAGGCGCAACAGCAGCAACATCATCTCCACATGCATCAGGCGCAACATCATCTCCACTTGTCGCACCAGCAAACGCAGCAGTCGCAACAGCAGCAACACATGCAGCAACACTTGCCGCAGCAACAGCAACCGCAACAGCAGCAGCAACAGCAACAACACGACTTCCTCAGCGCCGCCGCCCTCCTGTCCGCCCCCTCCTCCTCCCTCTCCCTCTCCGGCTCTAGTTCCGGCTCCAGCTCCGGCAGTTCGCCAATGTACGGCTCCGGTTCCGGATCCGGCAAGCCACCAATGAAGCTGGAACTCCCGTATCCGCAGGCCTCCTCCACGGGCACCGCCTCGCCAAATTCCAGCATCCAGTCGGCTCCCTCATCGGCCTCTGTGTCGCCCAGCATCTTCCCGTCGCCCGCCCAGTCGTTTGCCTCCATTTCGGCCAGTCCCTCGACGCCCACCACGACCTTGGCGCCACCCACAGCGGCGGGATCAGGATCGGGATCGGGCTCCACTTCCTCATCGGCCTCCTCGCCCTCCTCGGCCGCCTCGGCTGCAGCTGCGGCGGCAGCAGCGGCAGCGGCAGCAGCGGACCTTGGAGCGGCTGCGGTCGCCAGTGCCGCCTACGGCTGGAATACCGCCTACTCCGGATTGGGCCCACCAAGGTAAATATCAGAGTTAATGAATCTGCAAAAACTTTAAGACAGGATCATAGGATCATCAATTTAAAGTAATATAATATCATCAAAACTACAGGTCATACTTCAAATTTTAAGATAGGATCATAGAAATGCACTAGTAGCATCGAAATTTAAAGTTAATATGAGATCCATTGCTGAAAAACTTAAAAGTAGGGTCTCAGATATACATAATAGTTATTTTATCCTATAACAAATTCCTTTAAGAAAACCCAGAAAAACTTAAAGATACGATTTTAAGATTTAATTTTACAAATATCTTTAGAATTACAGAGATTACACTATTAGTTTAAAGATTGAGTTATGATTATCATACAAATAATATGGGCTGTGAAAATTATAGATTCATTTGAATACAGTAAAAGTTATTGCATTTTTTTCACGCCAACATCCAGATTGATTTAAACAGAGTATAAAATGTCTTGCTTACTTTGATATCACTTTATAGCAATCTTTGCAATCAAATGATAGGTTTCAGCATCTAATGATAGGATGGTGATTATAACGATTAATTAAACATTTTAAGCTGCTAATGATAGGGGATGAAAATCTTTGCAAAAAACAATCAAAATGGGTTTTATTTTATTTAATGCAATATAATTATTAATAAATAGTAGGTTCGCGTGTACATTTTAACTAATATTTGACGAGTATATCTGATCAGTTAACTAATCGTATTTTTTGCCGTTTCTTTTCTCCTTCCAGAAGTCAATTCCCGTATGCCCAATATGCCTCCGATTACTACGGCAATGCGGTGGGCATGTCCTCCTCGGCAGCCTGGTTCTCGCACCAGGAGCGCCTGTACCAGCCATGGAGCTCCCAAAGCTATCCGGGCTTCAACTTCGACGACATTGCCTTCCAGACGCAACTGCAGCGGCGCTCCGTGCGCTGCACGTGCCCCAATTGCACGAACGAGATGAGCGGCCTGCCACCGATTGTGGGTCCAGATGAGCGGGGACGCAAGCAGCACATCTGCCACATTCCCGGCTGCGAGCGCCTGTACGGTAAGGCCTCGCACTTGAAGACCCACCTGCGGTGGCACACCGGCGAGCGGCCCTTCTTGTGCCTCACCTGCGGCAAGCGATTCTCCCGATCCGACGAACTGCAGCGGCACGGACGGACGCACACCAACTACCGACCCTACGCCTGCCCCATCTGCTCCAAGAAGTTCTCGCGCAGCGACCACCTCAGCAAGCACAAGAAGACGCACTTCAAGGACAAGAAGAGCAAGAAGGCTCTGGCGGCGGAGGCCAAGGAGCAGGCTGCGGCGGCGATAAAGCAGGAGAGGAAGGAGAAGAAGTCGACCAAGCCGCTGACGCCGCCCGTGGAGTTCAAGCAGGAGCAGCCGGAGGCGCCGCTGGTCAACTATGCGCCCTATGCGAATCTCTACCAGCAGGCGGCCACCAGTGGATCGGGTGTTGGCAATCCCCCACCCCCACCGCCGCCCCTCTTCCAGCAGCATCAGCAGACGACGTCGACGACGACGGCGACGGCAACGGCGATCCAACAGATGGGCAGCTATGTGGAGCCGTGGAGCAGCCGTGCCATACAACCAGCCACTACCTCAGCGAGCTCATCCTCATCCTCCAGCGCCAGCTCACCGGCGGCTGTCGCTGCCGTCTCCCTTTCCGCAGCGGGCAGCGCATCCTCTCCAGCCGCTTCCGCCACGGCACTGGCCCAGCATCATTATGCCGCCTTGGCCATGCAAAGTGAGTCCCAACTGGCGGCGGAATATGGCCTGACCATGAGCGGACTGGCCAGCGGGGCCAGCCAGGACTCCAGCTCCAGTTGCCACATGAAGTCCGAGTATGCGGCCAGCTATCCGGCTGAATTTGGAGCGGGCACTGCCAGCTACGGTTATCCGCATCCGCATCCACATCCGCATCATCATCACAATGCCTGGGCAGCGGCCTATCATCCACATGCAACCGCCTAGGATTACCAAGTTGAATACCAGATTGTTACTGTTTAGTGTTGAAATAACAAAATGCCATAAAGTCCCAAAAGTCCCGAAGGCAACAAAGCAAGCGTAGAACGAAAATCTAGTGTGTGTTTTTTTTTCAGTGTTTATTGTTGACGAAAAAAATGTATGTGAAAATCGAACAAAAAAAAAATCCACAATTACCGCCTAAGACATTATATAATATTATATACATTTAATATATTAACTATACATGTAGCTAGCTCTAGAACTTGAATTTTTTTCCCAATTTTTTTTTCAACCTAGTTAAGGCATTTTTTTTTGCATGTCTGTACATATACAATATATAGCGACTTTTAAGCCATACCATATAGAATGAGAGAAACCATCTAGTTGTGTACCATAATAATTGTTAATTGTCTTTAAGATAAATTATATACAACAAAAAAAAAAAAAAAAAAAAAAACAACAAGGCGACAAAATCCCCACACGAAAATCCTAACAATAAAAAAACGAACAAAATTATATCGGAAAACAAAGCGAATCCAGTTTTTATTATTCTCCGATCCCGACGCACCCTTGTGCTGAATTTGATGGTTCGGTTTGCTTTAAGGGTTGTTTGATCTCGGCCGAGGGTGGTTTCTTGTACATAAAGAGGGACCCAGGAAGCTTCCCAACTTCCGGCGAACTTGATCTGCTTTGGGTGCTGATCTTTGGCGGGATTTGGATAATGGAAACTTGTTCCAAAGCAATCATTATACGTACCTACATTCCCAGACTTATGTTCATCAATGCCATCACTATAAAACTGTAAAAACAGTGTTAACTTGAAATGCCCTTTTCTAATAAATAATATTTAAATTATTTGCTGATCCTTAAACTTCCAATTTCATTTTTATTAGAAATGTCTGTATACTTTGATACATATTTAGGTTTTTCTTAATAGAAATCAAAGTTTACTTTTGAATAGCCACAAAAATCTTCTGTAAATTTTATAGGTTCCATATAATAAGAAATAAATCGTTTGGATCCAGAATTATTTTCTTAACGGTATTTTTAAGTTTTAAGGTTTTTCTAGAATCATATGTTTAGCCACAATTCAACTATAGTTGGATACCTTCAACCATCGTGTTTTGCCCAAAGGACAGTTTGGTTAAAATATGATGGCCCCAATCATATCTAGTTATACTCACCAAAATGTTATGTAGATCTGAACAAGATACGAGTTCCCCGATCATTTTTTTCGTTTCCAGCTTCGAAATTAATTTAATCTCATTTCCCCCGGCCCTTCTAGTTGCAACCGGCGGGGATCATAACTCAGAACGGGCATATTCAATCTGAGGCAACCAATGAGAGTCAATTTAGATCGCCCGACTATCCCACTTTGGGCCAGGCAATCCGAAATGAATTGCCCAACCGAGTTTATAATTAAACGGGTGACTTTGTCCCGGCGAAATGATGGCGTGAAGATTGCCAATCGCCGGAGATCCAATCCGATCCGCCGTGAAGCGATGCAGATAGCGCTCAGATCGATTGCGGCCAATATAAAATATTGATTTATGCTGCCCTGCCCGGGCATCAATCAATTTTCAAGTTGAGTGAGCGCCAAGCCCCCGAACGTGCCACGCCCACTGGGCATCACCATCTTTGGGTTTGGGTTTGCGTTTGGTTTTGGGATTGGGTTCCCCAATGCATTTGCCAGTGGGATTGTGCAAGCGGTTGACAACCCCAGGTTTGGATTGGTAGAGTCTCTCTTCGGAGATCCGAAACAAAATGAAAAAAAATAAAACAAACCGGAGGGTTTCTAGAGGAGGGTGTGATGGGGCAGCCCAACAACTTCACACGCACGTTAATCATACGCCGCGTTGGCCGCTTAAGCGTCCCAAACCCTTTTCGCCCCACCCCCAACCACCATCACCACCATCACCACCATCACCACCATCACCACCACCACCACCTTTTTCGGGGCGCTCCACTAAATGGCAAACAAAATCTGATTGATTTATAACTGAAGTCTGCGGTCAGCGAAGGAAAATAAAACATAACCAAAAGGGAAAAGTCCGAAATAAATAAAAAAGTACAACAAGAAATACAAAATAAAATCTCGCAGCTTAATGATGATAAATGATGATGTTATGATTTGTTAATTTTTCTTCGCGTCTCTTCGTTTTTTTTTTTATTGCGTAGAGGAGTTAACCCGAACATGAGGTATTCGTCTTTTCTGTTTTGGTCGGCTTAATGGCTCGAAAAGTGTTCTCCGTCAGGTTTTGTTCGGGCGAAAGTGTAATTTTAAGTATGGGTTACAGAATCGATGGAAATGTTAGTTGGCCAGTGCGTTTATTAAATGATTGTGCTTATAGATTTTCCCTAATGCCGAAGCTATCTCCACTGAAATATGAAACTCGAAAGGAATTTACACAAAATGTTATATTTAGTTATGATTCAAATATGCTTTAAATTTCTTACGCTAGAGCCCTGATTAATTTTCTGTTCCAAAATCTATGTTTAGGTAAAAATTATGCATCTTATATATTTTTGACTATTAAAGATTACTGCAAAAAAATTAAAGTTTTTACGGTACAAAAAAATATATATATATACAATGTTATATTTAATGATAAAACAACTAAAATACAGTTTCATAACAATCATGTGAGATTTAATAGATTCTAATTAAAACATTTATCTTTAAGAGCCCTTTTTTAAACTTTGTTGAAAAGTACTTGTCCAGAAACCTGTTAGAAAACACAAATTAAACAAATTATGAAATCACAGCACAAAATGTAGTCATAGTTGCGACATCGCCAGGACACAAGTAAAACCACTTAGAAAATTAGATCAGCAGCCGAGAAGTTCCCAGAAATTGTGGCTAACTGACACCACACCTATGGCCACTCGAAAAACTCCGATGCCGAGTCAAAATCCAAGTGGTACATAACACATACTCGACTCGAGTAACTTCGACTTCTGGGCACGCTTCGCATCCTTGATCCTCGATCCTCAATCCTCTAACCTCAAGGATCTCGGATTCTCAAGTGGCGCTGCCGAAGTTTTTGGGGTAACCAGATATCGCTCTAATTTTGATCGCGGCTATAAATAATCGGGCTGCTTGCGCACTTGACTCTCTCTTTTGACGTTTCCACAGAATCGATGTTTTGATCTTCGGCGCTCAGAGTCCTTGGTCCTTTGGCCCTTTGGTCCTCAGGTCCTCGAGAGGACAGCAAATTGAGTTGAGATTATCTCGCTGCCTGCGCTAAGCAAGCGTGTCTAAAAAAGGTCCTGCGGCCGAGATGATCGAACATGACTTAACTAGAAAATGTTTTATGTTTCATCGGCACTTGGTATTTATTAGTTTTTACTTTTCACTTTTTCACTTTTTCACATTTCCCTCGTCTCTCCCTCGTTTTTGGGCGGGGGGGGGCGTTGGCGGTGGGCGTGTTTGACATGGTCATCGGTGATTATAAATTTCGGTCGTGTCCTGCGGTCGAACTGCGAGTCCTGTGTGGGTTCCTCAGCCCATTGTCTTCTGGCCAAAGATCGTTGCGGCATATGGCCTGTGTATTTGGGCTCGATGCGGGTGCAGATCTCGGCAGGAAAAAAAACACAAAATAGTGGATGGCCGGGGCTTAAGATGACATGTGTTTAAAGGATAATCGCGCAACAACAAGATCGCAATCTCGATTGGCAAGGGACCGAGATAAACTGCTCAACGATGGATTGACTTGGCCAGCGGATTAAAATGTAGATATTGGTAGCCCCAGAATGTAATATCTTAATTATTGCCACCTATTAGGAGCCTTGATCGAGCGGAAGTCTTATTCAAAATTGTATAGTTAAGTAAAACCCTAAAGTAAATTAAAGTAAATAGCTTGGTTTTAGTTGTTTTTAATGTAGAAAATGTTACAAGTTTAAGTATTATTTTATTTGAACTATTTTGACTACTTTTAATAGATTAAAAAATAATATTGATAACCAATTACATTTATATGCTGCAATACAAATATTGCATTTATAAAATAAAATACCTTAAAATACAAATGGTAGTCAATTTTAGTTTCTATGTTAAACCAAGTAAATGGCTGATTAGAACACAAAACAATGAAACTAGTGAACTTTAGTTTGCTCCATTACTTAAAGGTTTAACCTATTTGAATATTAAGTAATTACCCATCGAAAACCTGATGAATTTCGATGAATCCACTCGATTTAGTCCCTTGTAAAGATTCCATTGTCGATTTCGGCACGTGACCCAATCACTGTCGAGCACATCAAACCGTGACAATCGTTAAGGATATGAAGGATTGAGGTTTCGATTCGAGCAGCAAAGTGGCCAAAGGGATATGGATAAGGACCCCATCGCTGGACAGCCGGACAACTCAATCGAGGCGGCATCTGCGGCATACAAATTAAAATATTTATGTGTGCATTAGGTGAGGGCAAACATTAAGGACACAACAACTGTGGCAGGAGCCAATGGAAAAAGTGCGACATATGTGCAGTCAATAAATTTTCCACTTTTCATGCTGACAGCACAGAAAAAAAACGAAAGAAAAACGGGGAAAACGGGGAAAACAGGAAAAACAGGGGCGCTCGAGGACCGCTAATGGCTCCACAATGACCAGGCGCATTTAATTCACAGGCACAAAGAAAAAAAAAAGGACCCCAAAATGGAAAAGGACTCGAGTAAATTGCTCCTTTTCTGCTGCATTTAATTTGATTTTATTGTTCGCGCTTCGCTTATTTGTTTGTGTCAAAGGCTGTTTCTTTCGATTTGCTGCGGTTTATCGATATATGGGCCACGCCCACTCCCATACCGCCCGCCGCCCCCATTTCCGCCCACATACACATAAACACACGCGTGTGTTTTGTTTTCCGTTTCCTGCTGAATAGTAGAGCACATAAAAAAAAAAAAATAAGTGGAAAATCTATTAAAATGCATTTAAATGTCTGCACCGTGTAGCGCCCCCCAACCGCCAACCTGCCACGCCCACACTTGGGCCAAAAGGGAGTACTCTATATGTGTATATGAATACCGCATTATGACCACGAAAAAGCGTTGCGAATTGATTAAGTTTTCCCTTTTTCCCTCCTTACCGAATTTCCCCTTCGGAGGGGATAAATCGATTTGCTGCGCCTGCTTTTCGGTGTGATTTCCGTTTCTACAGGGTATCAAAAGCAGGGGAAACGTGGGCGTTATTAGCTGGATAACTCAAAAAAGGAACTTCTGTTTCATTACTGGCTCTTAATTCATACTGCATGCTTCTTTTGTTTTGGTTGCATTTTATTTCGATTTTATTAGTGCCCTAGGGTTTATAGAATTTTGGGAATCTTTTACAAATTGTATAAGGATTTTTATTTATTACTACTCAGGCTAGGCTTAAACTTGGAAAGTTCTTAAAAAAAATTGTGAACATAAAAATACGTAGTAACTTTAATAAAATAGTTAAAAGGATTTTTATTTTGTATACACAATAAAAGGTGGCTAAAAAAAAGCCT